CGAGAAGTTCTCATCGATATTCCTTCTGATCTTCAACCTCTACTTTTTCAAATCACACCTAAACAACTTGAACTATAAAATGGGTCGAAAGAAATCAAAATCATCAGAAAATAAGAAGAAATCGGAGAAAGAATTAGAGGATCTGAAAAGAATAACGAAACCTTTTGGATCCTTCAAAAAAGATGCCTTTGGAGTGGATCGGACGAACTCGGACAAAATCCAAAAACATTTTCTAAGGGGTTCGTGGATGGATGGTACCCTCAAGCATTACAATTCGGGGGTGGTGAAACTTTTGAGGTTTGCAGAGTTGAAGAAGGTGGATAAGTCCAAGCTGTTACCGATCTCGTCTGAAATATTGTTAGAATTCATCGTCTGGGCGTCAAAGAAAAATGAGGAATTGGCTGAGGAGGATGAGTCGGTGAAGTCGTCAACGTTGAGAGCGTACATCGCGGGCTTGAAAGCATGGCATCGGTTCCATAGGAAGGATTATCCAGCTAAACAAGAAGAGATAGTGGCGCTACTTCTGAAAGCCTCAGAGACAGTAGAGCACGAAATGAAGGAAGCAGAAAGGTTGAGACCTCAGGTTCTAGTATCGGACCTAGCTGTTCTTTTCAAACACGTGAATCTAACGTACGAAAAGGATTTAGTGGTGTATGCGATTGCGCTCACGGCATTCTGGGGAACGGCGAGGTTGGGGGAATTAGTGTCAGACGATAGAGAGAAGAAGCTACCAATTTGGGGAGACGTTCTTTGGGGTCAGGATTTGTCATATGCGAAGATAGCGATTCACGGAGCGAAAACGGCAAAGCCGGGGGAAATCCAATTCATATATCTCCGACGTCAGAAGTCTCGTTTAGATCCGGTGAGGGTATTAAAAATGTTGTTCGATTTTCGACCGAGGAAATCGACAGACCCAGTATTTGGATTCGCAAGCAAAGTAGATGGAAGGATAATTTCATTCACCAAACGTTATGTGATCAGCAGATTGAGAGAACTTTGGAATCAGTATAGATCGAAGAAAGAGAAGTTATTGTTTGGGCACTCCACCGGCAACATTTTTGCATAGCATGGCAGCATGTGGCAACACAAAGCATTTGGACATCTGATGTTGAATCACATTATTTCTCTGTGATCCAATTATCATGTGACTTCTGGTTGCTTCCTTTTCAAGTGATCTAACATCACATTCAGGTTTGGGTTACACGGGGTCATGTGATTCAACTGAATTGTGATTTGATATCACAGAAAAAACTTGTGATGTAAACCCATGTGATGCAAGATAGCTGAAATTAAGATGCATGACACACATGTGTGTGATTTAACCCTTTACATCACATGTACAAAAAGCCATGTAACCCACTCATGGCTTCTTGTACATGTGATGCAATCTAAGATTTCTATATGTGATGCAATCTAACACTTCAACATGTGATGTAATCTAAATTTCCAAAAGGTGATTCAATCTGAGATTTGGACATGTGATGTGATCCCAGTTTTGTAGTTGTGATTAGAAGCTGGAGGAGACCTTTGGTTCATGTACAGTTGCTGAGGATTCAAAAACTTTTGAGTTGAGCTCACTCAGTAGACAATGCCTTTCCATTCAGAAAGCTTCAGTTGCTCAGAAAAAGACTCAGTTGCTGAAGTTTGTCAAACTTCTGAGTTGAGCTCACTCAGTAGAAGTTTCCTCAAGATGATCAGTACCATCAGTGACCTTGAGCAGCACAGCAACTGAGCAGAGTTGAGCCTCATGAAGATTTGCTGTTGGCCTATTAATTGATAGGGAATTTCTATTCAGAAAGCTTCAGTTGCTCAGAGCAACAAAGGCCTTCACACTTTCTCAGCCTGCAGATGAAGAACAATGGGAAAAAGAAATACTGGATATAGAGGATTCAGGAAACACAATCAATGAAAATTTCAAAAGCAAAGAACCAAGGGATTGAAAGGGAGATAATTGGGTCAGCAGTGTCTTTAAATACAGTATGAGTTAGATGATATTGTGAAAAAACAGCTCAATTGCTCAATTAATCAGCGTAAATCAGAATTGCTCAATCAGCATTGAGCGGGTATAGGCTCATTATCTATTTATCACAATCAGTTAAGCTTAGATAGTATAGTCTGTGTGAGCCTCAGCCCAGTAATATATATTGAAATCAAAGTGGCTCAGCAATCAATTTGATCTTTTTCCAGCCTTAAAAGGGCCAGTCTTCAAAGTCATAGTGTGATGAACATATCTAGCACCCACATCAGCTGTTAATTCTATACTTTTACAATTTTCAATAGCCATATATCAGAAAACCGGGACCTCCAATGGAAATTATAAATCATAAAAGTGAGTATTCAGTATCTGAAATGATCATAAGAACCAAATATTGATTCTTTCAACTCTTCCATGGAAATTAGAAAAGCATATGAACCCTAATGTGGGTGAAGTTGCTGTGTCAAAGGATAGTTATTCACTAGCAGGTATGAATTCAATTGTCAAACCTTATTTCATCTTCCCAGCTGATCCCTCTATACCCAGCAAAAACCTGTAGAATATCTCAAGGGAGAAGGGGTAGAGATAATGAGACCTCTGATATTCTGGCCTTTATGGAATCTATATCAAGGGAAGACATCAAATTGACCTGTGACACTTGTGGGGATCACCAGAAGCAAACTGTGAATAAACCTCAATCACCAATGCCTTTAAGAAAGTTAGCTTGGACCGCCTATACTTTCTTATTACTAACTAGCTGGATAGTGAAGAAGATTAATTACACTTGTGATGTGTTGGATATTCCTCATGACAAATTTTCGCAACACATTTTCGTTTTTTCCTTTTCTCTCTCTTTGATTATGTGGGTGGCAGATAGCATGGAACTTACCCTATATATTCTTGTACTTTATGACATCACTAAATACTTGATCAAAGTCATCAATTGAAAACTTTTCACCACACTTAGATTGAATCACATTTGGAAATTTGAGTTCAATCACATGTTCAAATCTCAGATTGAATCACCTTTTGGAAATTTAGATTACATCACATGTTGAAGTGTTAGATTGCATCACATATAGAAATCTTAGATTGCATCACATGTACAAGAAGCCATGAGTGGGTTACATGGCTTTTTGTACATGTGATGTAAAGGGTTAAATCACACACATGTGTGTCATGCATCTTAATTTCAGCTATCTTGCATCACTTGTGTTCATATCACAAGTTTTTTCTGTGATATCAAATCACAATTCAGTTGAATCACATGACCCCGTGTAACCCAAACCTGAATGTGATGTTAGATCACTTGAAAAGGAAGCAACCAGAAGTCACATGATAATTGGATCACAGAGAAATAATGTGATTCAACATCAGATGTCCAAATGCTTTGTGTTGCCACATGCTGCCATGCTATGCAAAAATGTTGCCGGTGCTCTTTCAGGATAGGGGGCGCATCCCTTAGGTGGAACCTAGGAGCAACAAGAGAAGAAGTGAAGTTGAGCGGGAGGTGGGCCTCTGATGCGTATAAGATTTATTTGAGGAAGTTCAGCAAGAAAGAAATGAAAGAGACTGCTGAGTGGCTTCGAGCGTACAAGTTGGAAGATTAGATATTAAATTGTGTTTGATTTAAAGTTTGGAATGTTTGATGTAGATCTTTTCTGGAATCAATTCATACATAGGTACTTCGTGGGACTGAGACATGGCGTCTCAGTTATAGTTTAGCCTTGGTGAGATTCGGGCGGAGAGAGATTCTGTAGCCGATGAGGCTCTTATCACGGTGAGAACAACAGGTTCTCACACGCCTGAGGGTAATGTGATTAGTTGTAGAAGTTGATCTGAGATCCGGAGGGGTCAGTTGAGAAGAGTGTTCGCTAAGAAGCAGAGTCTCATCGATGACATAAGTAGATGAGGTCCCCTGCTGGTAGCCGAGGCTACCTCGGACGGAGTAAATCGAGGGTTCATGAGCCATGAGGGTTGGGGGGTTCGGTTAGTCTGAGCCAGACTTCTCAAGGCTCACGACTCAGAACCTCGTGAGTTTGGGGGGTTGAGAAGTCTACTCTCTTCTAACCTGTTCTCGCTTAGCAGGAAGAGTTCTAGGACAGGTTGGAACAACCCATCCTAGGCTTCTCTTCCTACGAAGCTACCCCCACACCACGCCAAAGGGTTTACTGGTCTCAAGGAAAGAGACAGTATGCTCAGGCGGTAGGACATGTAATTAGAGAGTTTAACTTTATCCAAGCAGGCAGAGGAAAGTATAACTAAGGGTATTTTCATAGACCACGGTCCTCAGCCTGGGATCTACATCTAGATCTTCACGATTAAGAATGGATTGGTAGTGTTCCAAAGCTTGCAAAGGTACACTGAATTCCATTCTAGAGGTGAAGTACGAGTGACAGGTCAACAGGAGAGATTACACGCCTGTGGAAGAGTTGACACCTCTTCCACCAGTGAATTTGGAAGATTGAGGAGAGGAAAATTTTCTCCTCTCAAACCTCAACCAAATTCCTCTCCTGTGTTGATTCCTGTCAATCCTAGATAGTAGTAGTGCAACTCTCTCTCTCTCTTTTTCTCAGATTTGAATTTTCAAAGCCCACCCACCACCCGGGGGGGTTGAGAAGTCTACTCTCTTCTAACCTGTTCTCGCTTAGCAGGAAGAGTTCTAGGACAGGTTGGAACAACCCATCCTAGGCTTCTCTTCCTACAAAGCTACCCCCACACCACGCCAAAGGGTTTACTGGTCTCAAGGAAAGAGACAGTATGCTCAGGCGGTAGGACATGTAATTAGAGAGTTTAACTTTATCCAAGCAGGCAGAGGAAAGTATAACTAAGGGTATTTTCATAGACCACGGTCCTCAGCCTGGGATCTACATCTAGATCTTCACGATTAAGAATGGATTGAAGATATGATCAGCTTTTTTTGATAAGTATTTATTAACCAAGAATAAGAATTGATTGAATGACAGGAGAAGAGATTTGGATTTATCAATTATCAATTTTTCCAGATTCAGAGAGATCATTAAAGTTAAACCATCAAGGAGCCAATACCTATGACTCCACTTCCAAGAACAATCTTCATCAAATCAGATACGTTGACGTATTGACCAGGTGCGAGACCATTGTAAGATTTAGCTTTCGTGGATGCAACATGGTCATCAAAGGTAGAGTTGATGGCAGTCGCATTGTACGAAGAGCCAGTTCCATTCCTAAACCACCCCGACCCAAGTTACAAGGATTAATCCACTCATCAATGGATAAAGTATTCATTGAATTGGAAAGAAGACGAACTGAATGGTAAAGAAGCTTGCAGCTACTAGATCTCCTAATCCAGTTGAGGTAACATATGTCTTCAAATCCCAATTCCCAGGTCCAGTATTGACCGCTGACAAGTTCACAGGGGCAATGAATTGTAAAGGTTGAGCAAATAAAAGCATTGCATAACGATGTTTTCCTGTGTTGACAAGAGGAGCGGGTCCAACATAATCGGTTACTGTTACTGCATTTCCAGATGCTTCATTGATATTCAAGGTGTTGTTTGGCAAAGGGTCCGCAAAAGTCACACCGTTTTGTAGGTAATGTCGATAACCGGCTCTGTTAAACGGTGATACATCGTCAATGTCCGCCCAAAGGTGGTAAGAAAAAAGTGGTTGAAAAATTCAGATCAAGGTGAGTTCCACAGAAGATGGAAAGGTACTAGAGAAAACAGTATCCAATAAACATTTGACAAAACTTAGGGAAGAGGTGGGGCTATTCATTCATCATGAACCAAATCAGTTTTCCTATGTTAAAACATAATGTACTCAAAATTACAACTTGAGTCTCAGCACAAAAACGTGCGTATTATATATTGATTCTGGCGTGGTAGATCAAAGTGCTTTCAACTTCAAGGGGGAAAAGAAAAAAATTGAGCTCAAGATTCAAGACCGGAATACTAACAGTGGGTCTGGGTTTCCAATCGTGTTGGCATCTGCCATAACGAGGGTAAATTGGCTAGGGGCTGTGAAATTCTCCACAGCAGAGGCAGTAGGAGTGACACTGATAGTAGGCTTAGTGGCAACATCTAAAAGACAAAAAAGTGATCCAATGTAAGAGTAGTGAATACTATTTCTACAGTATGTCAAGTTTACAAATTCACACCTGGTTGATTGTAAGGTTGACCATCTTTTATGCTTCCATTGGGATAATTTACGTTGAGTAAAGCTAGAGCTTTGAGTGGGATTCCGAAACCATTTGCACGGCCGGATGAAAATTCCAACGCGTCATATTTAGATATAACATGAGCGATTTGGTCAGGAGTAGCTTGAGCTTGGGTGACTGGAGATTCACTCATGAGTAGGTATGAAGTAATGAAAAGGAAGGTATAGCGAGGAATTGATCTGCCAGTTGAATTCAACATAATGTTATCCTTGTGCTTTTTGTGAAGTGAAAAGACGATTAAGAATCGGAAGCGATTTCAAAAATTAACGTTGCGATCTTTGGGAGGATGAGTCTCTCGACAGTCCGTTGAATATATGATGTTAAAAGCTTTTTTTGAAGCTACTGCCTCAGTCGAGTCTGTTTAACTTCCAAGTGTCTAATTAAAAATACAAAATATTTTGCAAGTGTCAATTTCAAAGAGCTTGCCCCTATTCCTCCGCCAATATCCTGCTTGAATTCTGGCTGAGAGTATCACCACCGTGGTGTGCAAATAAGCCCGATTCGATTGTATGTAATTCCCAATACAACGTGAAGTAAGTTTGTATTCCCTTAATTGCGCGAAATGACAGAATCTTTGTGCACCGTGCCGCGACTTGGCAAATAAAAATGTAAATGGTGTAAAACGCACAAAACGGGCCACCTCATCAAAACAATCCACAAATTGATGTCACGATAAGATGACATCAATCATGATCGAGTAAACTTAACAAAGTACAGCCCAGTCAGGACTCAGATGTCGCTTGCAACTCGACAGCCCGAGCCTGCGAGGGACTGTAGCCAAAGTTGCACAAACTCAAGAGTCCCCCGTGAGCTTTTGGCAGGGGGTGTCTTTAAGTAACTTCTATACCTTTTACTGCCAAAAATTTAAAGTGGTCCAAAGAGCAACTCTGTGCGCTGCCCTCATGCACATATGGTACATATTTTTTCTCCCAAGGAACTTGCTGCCCTCTACCTGGAACTTTGACTCAAAGATTTGGTTTCAAATTTTACATGTAGGTGAGCTGTGGAGTCAAAAATGTGTCCAAAATAGGTTCTGACCAAAACCCGTTTTGGCCAACTTTTATCTTCAATATCAATACGGGTTTTGCATATCCGGTCCACCACCACAAAATTAACTATGTTAAGTTGCCAATTCACACATTCATTTTTGTTTTGATCTCTCAATCATCATCTCAATTGGTTTCTTACAATCATGTATAATCAAAACAAAATAAATTTCTATCATATGATGAGAAAGAAAACCAATACAAAGTCTATATGGAAACAAAAAAGGAAACAATGCTAAGATGAGATTTTGATTCTGAAGGTACAACCAGCTTTTTCAATAAGTTTTATATTTTGTATTTTTTTTTGATTCAGGCTAAGATTTGATGAAAGGTAAGAAGAGAAGAAATGATTTAGATTTGAAAGAGTAAATAAATAAACTGAACAACATCCTGATTTATTGAAGCGTGGTTCATCTCTCAATTTATCCAAATTCAAAGAGATCTTCAAACCAACAATGAACTGATACCAACAACTGCACTTGCAAAAATAGTCTTCATCAAATCAATCGAGTTAACATATTGACCTGGTGCAAAACTAGCGTGGTTAGCATTGCTTTTGGCAGAAGATGTAGTGTTGGTAGATGTGCCATTCCCAGAAGAGGTAGAGTTAGTCCCATTAGACGAGAAAGTGGCAGTTCCATTCCTAAAGCAAACCAACCAAAGATTCTTAGAATATGTCTATCAAAAGAAGTGATAGAAGAGAAAAGAAGACGAACTGGACGGTAAAGAAGCTCGCGGCTACCAGATCACCTAATCCACTTGAGTTAACATATGACTTTAGATCCCAATGTCCCTTTCCAGTATTTTCAGCTGATAAGTTTGAAGGAGGATTAAATGATCCTGAAGGTTGAATAAATAAGAGCCATGTATAACGATGCGGTCCTGAGTTGAGAGATGGACCGGGTCCAACGTAATCGGTGACCACCGTTCCTGATCCTTCATTGATGTTCAAGGTATTGTTTGGCGTAAGATCACCAAAGGTAACACCGTTTTGTAGGTAGTGACGAAAGCCGCCTCTATGAAAATTAAAAAGATTGTCAACTTCTATCAAAAGTAGGTAACAAGCAACAAAGATCTGAAATTGGAACAAGGTGATTACAAAGATCAAGATCAAGGTGCGTTTGGTACAAAGGTACTAGGCGAGAAACAGCATGTAAACATTTGATAAGATGGAGAACAGTCAAGTCGATTCATTCATATCAAACCGGATTTGTTTCCCATTTGCTGATGTGAAGTCTGGCTATTAAAGATGCCATCGAGCGCTTTAAATCACAGCACTGCGCAAATACTTAGAACGACATGGTTTCCAACACGGAAGATTCCATACTATACATTTGGTCTAGCGTTGTAACTCAAAGCACCTTGCAAGGGGAAAGAAATACTGATTGAAACCAATATCTAAAAAGTGAAATACTAACTGAGGGTCCGGGTTTCCGAGCGTATTGGCATCAGACATGATGAGTGTAAAGACATTAGGGGATTCGAAGTTCTCCACAGTAGCGACAACAGGAGTGATGCTGATAGTAGGCTTAGTGGAAACATCTAAAAAGAGAAATCGAATGTATTTAGACAGGTGATCACGGTTTTTAAAAAGAATGTAACAAGTTCACAAATGCATACCTGTCTTGTTGTAAGGTTGACCAAGGTTTACGGGGCCATTAGGATAATTTACGTTGAGCAAAGCTAAAGCTTTAAGTGGGATTCCAAGACCAACTGGATATTCTGACGAAAGATTTAAAGCATCATATTTAGAGATAACTTCGACAATTTGAGCAGGGGTAGCTTGGGCTTGAGTGAATTGAGATTGGCTGATAAGTAAGTATGAAGCGATCAATACTAGGGTTTGATGAGGAATTGATTTGATTGTAGAAGTCAACATGTTTTTCTAGTTGTGGTTTTTTTTGAAGTGTAAGGATATTGTTTTCAAATATGATCTTTTGTAAGCTCAAGGATTTCGGAACGATGACTTTCAGTCTCCTCCCTCTCCTCAGCTTGAATATATATAATCTCAAAATATCTTTGAGGCTGTGTGCCCAAGTGTACTTCAGCAAACGAACGAACTCTCAAGTGTGCGATGTGATACGATGTGATCGAGATCGCATCCAAACAAGATATTTGATTTTATATTGTAGTCGAACCAAAGATATCCTCTACGATGTTGATTTAATAAGGTAACATCCACATTGGCTGTGTTGAGGATTCAAATTTTGATGTGAAGAACACAAGCGTAACCAAGACATAAATGATGAATTATATAGTGCCATGGGATATCGACTTGAACATCCAAATTGTGTCATGAAAGAATCTGATGATCAGTTGAGATGGTGTCGTGACTCCTTTCCACACCTTTTGAAAAGGAAAGTCCACCCCGATAGATCATGAGAATGGAGTGGAGACTGGTGGAGACTGGTGGACAATTGCCACAAAGCTGGCACTGAACCTCAGATGTACCACGCTCCTTTCTTCATCTGTTTCATCATCTGCGTATAAGATTTCAGACCGAAGTCGTCACCACATCCATGTTTTGGCTGGAGCGGATTGAAGTCCTCTTTTTTGACCATTGATTCATGTTCATTGGATCAAGAAACCAAGGCAAAAGTGGGGCAGAATGAAGCAAAATCACAACTTTGGTAACACCGTGACACGTCTACCTTGAGTAAGCCTCTCTTGGTGAGTGAGCAGCGCGCCTTTGGGGTTTACGTATTGCGTTTCTTTACCCTTGGCCCTGATGAACTATTGATTGGGAATTGTTGCCTTGCAAAGTCATCCATTTCTTGATCAAACATCCACTTCAGCATCTCAGATATCCTGAAATACTCAAGTATGATGAAGCATCTGATCATCTTTCACTTCCCTTCACAAATCACAACCATAATCACAGAAACAAAAGCAAGTGGCCAGTGCCATTCCTGGCTCCCAATACTTTGTGAACAATTTTTTACAAGTCCAATTCAGCTGGACAGTGGGGATCAAAAAAGAAGACAGATCTTATTGTCTATTGAAAGAGATTTTTGTCCATGCTACTTACAATGATCTCAACAAATGAGATGGATCATGATTGGACAGATCCATCCCAATAGCTCCCCAAAGGAAAAGATAACATTGTTTTCATCTACCCCATTTAAAACTCGAGTCTTTCTTGCGACAACGCCGGTTTAGACTGGAAATCCGCTAGAGGAGAGGAATAAACGGAGTCACCCGAGTTGAAACCTTGGTTCATATGTATCTTCATACTCACTTGCAGCAGAACTCAAAGACACTCCTACAAAAATCTGCAAGCTCATTGGGGAATACAACCAACGGTTCTATGAGCGAAGGCACTTGTTGATTCGGTGTTCTTTCGTCTATCAAGAACAATTCCTGTACAGTGTGCATCACTGCGAGCGTCTTTAATTTTATCTGCGCGACCCTTGCCCTCGACCGACCTGTTTGATAATTTGAGTCAAACTGGATTAAATCCAAAACTCGTTAAATTTTTATAGTTTTGTATAAAGCTTGAGATGTTTAATGAACCGTTGGGAATTAGAAGCCTGAGAAGTTCTTTCATTTCATTTCATTTCGTCCAACATCCACTTCAGCATTTAAAGTCTTCAAATATCATCCAACATTTTACCATCTTTTACTTTACTTCACAACTTACAACCATCATCATCAAAACCACCAAAACATCATGTTCACTCTCAATCATCAAAGCTTAATCTTGATTTCTTCATGCTTACTTATTAGTCAATCTAATGCTCAAGCTACTACTCAACAAACTACCGAAGTTCAATCTAAATATGATGCATTGAAATTATCAGCTACTTATCCTGATGGGTTTGGTATTCCACTTAAAGCTCAGGCTTTACTCAATGTGGTTTATCCAAGTGGAAACGTGAACCTTGGTCAACTTTACAACAAATCAGGTATGAGTTTCATTCACTTCACATTCTATAAAAACCGTAGTCGTATCTCTTAACGTTGTTTTATTTGGTTTTGATTTTTTTAGATGTTGCTACTAAGCCTACCATCAGTGTTACTCCTCTTGCCGATGCTGTAAACAACTTTAAAGCTCCCAACGCCTTTACGCTCGTCTTGACCGACGCCAATGCCCTAGGAAATCCAGACCCAGAGTCAGTCTCTCAGTTTTGAAACCGATTTCTTTTTTTTTCTCTATACCCGCTTTTCTGAACGCTGATTCAATTTGCCATAATCTTCAACCGTTTGAAGAAAAAACTTCCGTCATTTCTTAGAAAACCGTGCGACGTTTGTTGATGCTAGTCAAAATGGTACCATGAGCTTGAACGATGGAACAGGAACTGTTGTAACCTCTTACGTTGCACCTGGTCCACTTCTCAACTCGGGATTACATCGTTATGCTTGGTTATTATTTGCTCAACCTTCAGGATTCGCTGCTCCTTCTAACTTATCAACGGCTAATGTTGGACCTGGTCATTGGGATTTCAATGCTTATGTTACTGCAAGTGGATTAGGTGATTTAGTTGCCTCGAGCTTCTTTACCGTCCAGTAAGTCATCTTTTCATTCTCACCTGTTCTCTTTGTTGACTCATCACTGAGAACTTTTGGTTTTGGTTTTGTTTAGGAATGGAACGGTTTCATTCTCGTCCAATTCGACTACCACGTCTAACTCCACCACCAGCTCTGCTGGAAATACCACGTCTACCTCAACCACAACTGCTAAACCTAACGGCACCACCGCTAGTTTTGCACCAGGTCAATTTGTTAACATGGTTGACATGATCAAGATTGCTGCCGGTGGAATTGCTTGTATCAGTTTATTACTGGTTTAGATCATTCATTTTTGATTCTTTGGATAAATTGAGAATTGAATTATACAACCTTTTGAACATCTTGTCTAATCTCTATCTTTCTAAGATCTCAATCATTATCTTATCTTATCATTCTTTATGTATTTTGTTCTTTTGATTTTATTGTTTTGATTGATGCTTTTATTTTCATTTTTTGAAAATCAATCAATCTTACGCAAATTCAACTTAATCAAAATCTCAATCTTAGCATTGTTCTTTTATTTCTATTTTCTTTGATTGACATTCACAAAACGTTTTGTTCTGAATCACGTGAAGGAATTTTTGATCAAATGTCAACATTTATCCATGGCAACATTTTGGTTCACTTGAGGTGTTGGTTTTGAAATGTAACATTCGAAAGCTCTTGTCAACGATAAAGGGTTGACTACTGATATCACAACAAGGTTGACCAAACCTACCAAGCACTCATAACGGTCAAGCGGGACTTAGATAGATTTTCAACCACTCTATACCCAGGGAAGCTGAACTAAGCGCCTCTTCTGACGCGGCCACGTCCGCTGTCGAAGATAGGCAAGCCCAACGCTTTTCGAGCGAACGATGACGATACGCAACGTCATGGGACTTTTGCGTTCATAGATGATCTGCTCGTGTCTGCTTTTCCATCCGCTCGACATGCCAGTTTTACAATCGACAGCTATGGACTTGTTTGACTAGTCTGAGCACGACCCAGCTCGACGTTAGTTCAACCTTAGCTAGCATTGAGTGTGGGAATTTGATGGATTGATCTGGGCTCTACGGTGTACGTATAGACTCATACCGACATATAAACATCAGCCCGAGCCCCGGAGAAGCCCCCCGATCGGGGACCCCGCGGATCCCCCGATAGGTCCGGTTTCCGGGCAGAGGTTTTGAGACCCCCGATGGTCGGGTATCCCCAACCATCGGGGTTCGGGCGTGGGTTTGGGAAAACCAGCGGTTTTCCGAGTACTCGACGGGTAATTGCATTGAGGGGATTCATATAAGAGATCTACTTATAGACATGTATAGTAGATACCAGGGTCCAGCAGCGCTGAAGGGAGGTGAAGGAAACAAGCCAAAAGACACACAAAAAGAGTAGAAACTGGAAAGGGCTTTTAAGCTTCCTTCTCGCGATCAACAACATACAAAGGACCAAACAAACGGTACCAGTCTTTAAGACACAAAAGGACCTCGACATTCATAGAAGAAAGAGAAGCACGCTGGGGGTCTAAAATATTCTTGGTCTTGCTAAAAACTCCCTCAGAGGGAGAGCTAGTCGCAGGGATTGCTAGAAATACCATGGCCATCTTAGCCAGCGCAGGAAAGACTTCCTGGCGTGATTTCCAATAGGCCAAGACATCTGTTTCTTGTGGTTCGGGTAACTCGGAAAGGTATCGAATGAGCTCACTACCAACTGAATGATCACGATGATGATCGCCGTAAATGGCATCCTCGAAGTACCCAGTTGAGGAGGTGGGTTTATCTTTTGAGGGTTCTTCATCTTCGGGTTCGAGCTGCTTTTCATACTTCCTTGCTTCAATTTCAAACATCGATTTGATGTCTGAAACAAATAGATCGTAATCACCAAGGATCAACTCTCGCTCCTATGTTCAAAAATATTGAATCATGATTAGTCAGAGTCCAGTTATTAAATGAGAATGAAACAACTTACTTGAAAATAATGAAGTTTAAGGCGTGGATCAAGAATAGTGGCACAGATTGGGCCTGGTTTAGAAATGACCTTCTTGAAGTAATCTTCAAGTTTGTTGATCATTTTTTTGGAGGCAGGAACCAGTTGATCGTGATCGTATTGCTGAGCCACCTATATGATCAAAATCAAACTTGTAGTTAGTTAGGATGCTTTAATCAAGTGATGATATCAAAGAAACTGACCGATTTAAGTCCTTGGATCACTACGATGTACATGGGTACCACTTGTTGCATCGTTGGAAACTTCGATCGACAAAGCATCTCAGTTGCAGCACTGAGTGGCTCGAGAAAGTCACACATCTGTTGTACATAATCCCACTCGGCAGATGAAAGAGCAAATTTCTTGAAATCTCTACTCTTGCAAAACTCATCGCAAGCTTGACGTAAACGGAGCATCCTGCGGAACATGTGATAAGATGAATTCCAGCGGGTGGGGACATCTGGCACCAATCGGTTCGCTGCACCATCACGAGTTTGAGTTTTAAGTTGGATGTCTTCATTGTTGAAATCTTGAATCATGTAATTAACATCCTCATCGTCTTGAGGGTTGTTAGCGTGAGCAGCCGGAGGTTGGTTTTCAAGAGGATCAGTTTGAAGAGTATCGGCAAGGTGTCAAACCGCAGTGACAACGTTCGCGAAAGCTTGTGCTCGTTGAGGGCTAGATCTAGTCGCCTTCACAAGTCCGTGGCACCGGGCGTAAATAGTCTTAAGATTGAATTGAAGCACATCTGGAGGGTCCACGAGGTTGCGTACATCCATTGAGCTAGATGGATGTACGCCGTCTTCAATTTCGGTCACTTCGCCAAACTCCTTGAGGCCTTCTTTGGCCGCAAGGTTGATTACGTGTGCTACACATCCGTGTACTTGACGAGTATGATCAAAGGTGATTTTGGGAAATAAACTAAGCTTTCGTCCTATCGCAGCATTAGTACCAACGTTGTCTGCTGTCATAGCAGACAACTTATCGGTTACATTGAATTTCTTCAAGTACGTGAGAATGATGTCGGCAAACGTGTCTGCATCGTGAGCCCCTAGAAGTAATCTGGAAATCAGCTTGAGTTTGAGTTTGACTATGTAGAGAAAATAGACTGACCCTTAATCTCGGCAATGCCGAGAGTAATATCAGTTAACTTCCACTCTTTCGTGATAAAATGACCGGTGAGCGACATAAATGGAACATTGTTCGGCGAGGTCCAAGCGTCCTGAGTGATGGCTATAGCTGGGGATTCAGATAGGTACTGTTTCTTAACGTACTCTTCGTAATGATAATAAATCTTGCGAGTATGTTGAGCAATCGCATGTCGTTTGCTGAGCATGCCGTTGATTTGATAGTTACAAAGGGTTAAAAGCTCTCGATAAGACTTTCGATCAACAATGGAGAATGGAAGGTCGCAGTCCGCGATGAAGTACAAAACCGCAGTCATCAGGCTAGTGGCATCAAGTTTACGCTTGATTGAGGAATAGGTAAGTAAGAAGATACGAGTGAAAAAGATATCGGCCAATAAGAGATGTTAAAAAGGGACAAGTTAGGAAAGATAAGAGCGATATAAAAGATGATAGAAAAAGAAAGATAGGAGAGATAAGAAAAGTTAGAAAAGATACAACACAATTCACATGATATATATACTACGAGTACGTACCATGTGATCGGTCTTGATCTTCTTGAACGAAGCAAGTATATCACTTTGGTTCGGAAGGTTGGCATCACGAATTCCGTGCTTTGACTCAAGGTGATTCTTCATAGATTTGGTACTGCCGGAATCGTCACGCTTTAACTCCTTACCACATTTTGATCCGTCAGCCTGTATAACACCACATTTATTATACGGACGCGTTCGAAGTTTAACAAAGTGTAACCAAACGTAACTTGCTGGACGGAGGGCAGAAGCTACAGAATCTGTGGTATTAGCAGTATCCGGTTCGTTGGTTAAATCTACGGTGGTTACGGTGGTGATTTGTGAACTCTGAGACATGATTTGAATATTTTTTTTGAATTAAAAAAATGTAGCTTATGCGGAGTTTTTGGAAGAAGATATAAAAAAAGTTGATCATTCGAGAGGAGCAGGTGCCGCCCGGGTGGATGAGTCATGAGATTAACTAGGTTACTAACCTAGTTTGTTAACCTAGTTTGTACTTATATCATGCTTAATATGTAGATTGGATTCGTGTTTTTTGCACGATAACGGAAAAAAAACAAACAGGCACAAAGAACTGTTAGCATTACATGCATATTAGCGGTATCCGGTTCGGTGAAGCCAGAGTTACAACATCAGAAGCTTTGGCCCTTTGCCCTCTATAGCCTGTATGCCTCCGATCCGTGTTTGAACCCCCCTGGACGTGTCCTTTTTGGCCAGGCGGCGAGTATCCGGCGGATAACCCGTTCGGGTCTCGGGCGGCTTTTTTTGGCAAAAAAACTCGATCGGAGCACTCGAATCGGGATCACTCAATCCTTCTACCCGTCGGTTCGGGGCTTGGGCGCTCCACCACTCGTCGGATAGCTACCGGGGCTCGCGCTGATATAAACATGACATGGGTTAAACATGTAATTTTTCCATGTCATGTTGAGTCAAAATTCATCGCCAAGCCAAAAACCGTACGACATGACTCATACCGACACACATCGACATGGATTTTTGTTTTCCAAATCCCGTGTTGTAACATGAGTCATGGCGGATGGTCTGATGGCCGACAAGTGTCATACCGACAAACAACATCACACTGTATCACATCTAATAGCTTTACCCGATTCACCACCGGTACATAGGTTGCAATATATGCCTTCTCTGGAGTAAAGTACCTTTTAAATCATCAACCATTCCTTCTCTCACTTGGGTTTCTTTGGGTAAGTATTTCAACTCCTTCTATCTTTGAATTACTCACAATATTCAACTTGGAACTCATCAATTTTCCATCAAAAGTCCCTTGCTTTTCTGTTCTCTTGCTCAGGTTTAGATTCCTCTTCTCGGTCCCACCCCCTTTCAATCCATTTGTGATTTCTCAACAAACAATGCTTTAACCTTTTTTAGTGATTAGACATGAAAACAATTTCATTTTCAATTGATAAATCGATTGTTTCCATTTGATTCAATCCAAATCAATAGTTTTCATCTGATTCAATCAAAATCGATCGTTTTCATCCAATTCAATCAAAATCGATCGTTTTCATCCAATTCAATCAAAATCGATCGATTTCATCCGATTCGATCGAAATCAATCGTTTTCATCCGATTCAATCAAGATCAATCATCTCCAGACTCCATCCATCTGATTCAATGAAAATCAATCGTCTCCATCTGATTCACCTGTAATCAATCATCTCAACAGCTCATCATCCAATCAAACCAAATTAGATTGAATCTTTAGTTCCTAATTAAATCAAGCAATCTCATTGATTAAATTCAAAACACTTCATTTCAATTTCTTCAAAGTAATCCAACTTTGTTATCTTTAGATTTATCTATCTAAATCATGAGAATGATGTGAGATAAAACTTAATTCTTTCTTCCATGATGGGAAGTCTCACAGGCCAATTTGATAGAGGATGGAATTGGATCTTGCATGTTCATTCTTCACTATTTGAATGCGGAACTACTTGATCTCACCAATGCCATTCCTCTATCAAATTGGTTTTGGATCATGATGATGTATGGTCACTGCTGAGGTTTAACTGTACTTGTCCTCCCCAAGACTGGGTTGGCTTCACGCACCAGAATCTTGTGGGTAGGGTTCGACACAGACCTTATGCAACCCTAGTCATCATTATCCAAGTGTGGGATGGACACTGAAAGTGGGTTGCTGTCTTGAACTATTACCAAAAAAATCAAAAAAAAAAGAAATCAATCCGCTTTTGTAGCTAATGCAATTCAACCTGTGAATGGAACATCAAAAATGAGGAAGCCTTTGACAACTACTATCACTCATGAAAAATCAATTGTTTAAAAGTTGAAAACAATCAAATTGAAAAATTGAATCCTGCTTCTAATGAACAAAAAGTTCAATTGTTCAGATTTGCTTGGCTCGTTTTCCTTTTTTAGTAATTTTTCTTTCATTACTTGTACAAAAATCAACAAAAGATTTGATTTGGTATATAATTCAAATGATCATGATATATATTCAATTTTATCTTAGCATGTATTATATTGCAATTCAAGCAAATTTCCTTCAATTGAAGATGGCCTTGTAGCTGTTTTTCTACTTCTTGGTCTATGTATTCAGTTTGATTCAATTTGTTTTCTTTGTTTTACTCAGAAAATTTCAAAGGAATTGAATAAAAACATTGAGATTTTAAAGTTGATGATTGTTTACATAGCCAGAGGAAGCAAGTTTTTCAACAAGTCAAAAGGTGAAATGGATTTGACTACTTTTGTTGTATCAAAATGAGCAATTCTGTGAGTTATCAGCTCTCACAAGTGATTGATCAAGAGAACTGCAAGAAACATGATAGGCTATAGAATTGATCTTTCTTTAACAGCTTTTATCATTTCTTATTGATCTTTGGTCATCAATCCTACTTTACTAAATTGAATATAATTCAATTTGTGGTTGTGAATTCATTTTGTTGCTTTGTTTGATTCTGTTGTGTTATGAAAGATGAAAAGGAAATATGTACTCAAAAAATTGGATTGATTATAGAGACATTTACATTTGGTGTCATGTTGTGTCAGTATGGCACTTCCCGGATGGTATGTTGTACGAGATGACTCATGTTACGACACGGTTTTTTTGAATCAAAAATCCATGTCGATGTGTGTCGGTATGAGTCATGTCAGACGGTTTTTGGCTCGGAGATGAATTTTGACCAAACATGACATGAAAAAATTACATGTGGAATCCATGTCATGTTTATATGTCGGTATGAGTCTACACGTATTCCATAGGGCTCGATGGATTTTGTTACAGTCAAATCGGAAAAGCTTGACCGATTTTGCCCGCAAAACTCGAGCAATTTGGCGGGGAATTTGTGACAAGCTTTTCCGGTTTGACTGTATACTACCTTTGCTAAAAAGGTTGACCGGGTCGACCGCACAAGAGAAGACAAGAAAGGCCAAATTTCGCCGCAGCCTGCTGCGAAGCCGCTGCGCAGCTCGCAGAATCCAAAATCCACCCGATCACAAATCTTCATACGATCGACATGAACTGCCGCTTTCTGGCTTTGTAATGTCTTGAGACTCATGCAAACTATATCTACGAAAAATGTAGAGCTTGGCATGACCAGATTGACCGTACAGCCGAGCCCAGCTTTAGTTCAGTGAGATCGATTATGCACATTCCCGTCTTTCCCCATAGTCTTCCTAGTGTAGTGGTTGACATGGCACACGTGGGCTATTGACATTCAAGTGGTGATAAGCGCTGGTAGTGTGTTTGAGCCTGTGTGTCCTTTTGTGCTTTTACATTTTGGCCAAATCATAGAAAAAAGGACAAGTCTTTTTTTGAAAAAAAAAACTTTCATTTTTCTCGCTCAGTCAAGAGCTCAAATGAGGTTATCATAGGATAATGATTGCACTGACACATCAAAGATCAAAAACTTGATCTCATTTCAAAATTTCAGCAAAAGAGAGAGTACGAGTCAGCCTCGAACCCATGCAGGCCAACCTTTTCAGTCCACAATGCAGCTGTTTCATGCCGTTCGACCGAACGTTCTTATTGTGCTGTGATTAAAACGAGTATCTATTCCGTTCACAGCTCAGGTGAAGTTAGAAAAACTGACTGTATGCTTGATTTCAACATAATGAGCTAGATATATGTGCTTTATGATCAATCCCAAGACATTACAAAGCCAGAAAGCGGCAGTTCATGTCGATCGTATGAAGATTTGTGATCGGGTGGATTTTGGATTCTGCAAGCTGCGGCGAAATTTGGCCTTTCTTGTCTTCTCTTGTGCGGTCGACCCGGTCAACCTTTTTAGCAAAGGTAGTAAGCTATTGTCCTTTCCCCTTGAAGCTCTTGACAGCTCTTGACTCATAGTTTCCATCTTTCAACTCCTTTTCGCTCTCCTAAAATCGACCCAACTGGAAAGTAATTCCTCAAGCATACTCATCCCAGCTCGTGTCATCGTGAAATCATTAATCTTTCTTGGATTCCTTTTACAAGTATTATTTGTACTTGGTTATCCCAAATCCATTGGCTGCGTAGAAGGATGCAACTCGACTGGTCTGGAATCAATTCACACAAACCAACTTTCCAAGCGCACAACATTGCCAAGCAACCCTACAGTTTTTCCTAGTGTACTCTATAAAGAATTTGGTCTGAATGATTGTAACAAGTTATTCAACATCAAATTCTTCTCACTGTTCACACCAGGACAAACTGCAGGCTTGCTTGGCAATGTTGTGCGCTTGGAAAGTTGGTTTGTGTGAATTGATTCCAGAGTCAGGCCAGTTGATTGATGGTCCTCTGAGTCTAAGTGGTGGATGGATTTGGGATAACCCATTACAAATAAAACTTGTAAGAAGTGTCCAAGAATGAATTAATGATCTCATGATGACTAGAGGTGGGATGCGTAAGTGCAAATAGTTTGGATTGAGTGATTTTAGAAAAGTAAGGTATAGGAAATTAGATGGGAGTTTGGTAATTTCACAATAAAAGTCTGATGTTTCTTGACTTCACTCAAGTTAATGACCTTCTTTTTTGAAAATTGAAACTTCCATTTAATTTCCAATACCTTTTACTTTTTAAAGTCAATCAATCCAAGTTGTTTGCACATGCACATCCCACCTCTAGTCATCATGAGATCATAAATTTTTCCTGGACTCTTTTTACAAGTTTTATTTGTAGTGGGTCATCCCAAATCTGTTGGCCACTCAGAGGAACATGAACCAACTGGTCTGGAATCAATCCACACAAACAAACTTTCTAAACCCACAACATTGCCAACCGACCCTGCAGTTTGTCCTGGTGTGAATGGTGAGATATGTTTTGGTGTGAACAACTACAAGGAGTTGGTCAATATTTCTTTCTTTTGATTTTGGAAGACTTTCTCTGCACTTGATTACCAAGGAAATTGAATGGCGAAAATTTATTAGTGATCTCAAGCAAAGGTCTTCTAGTGCTTGTTTTGAAGTTTCCCACTGCTTGAATCTTTTATCAAGTTTGATGTGAAAATTGAGATTGAAGCAACCGGTTCAGGTCCTCCTACATACCTAGCAAACAAACAGAGGGCAGTGCTAAACAATTAGTGCTCAAAACACCATTGTGTTCACATCTTGGAATCAGAAGGGGAGACTGTAAAGATGAATGAGTTGAATTTTGTCCCAACTCCTCCCAATCTATTCAAATTTTTGTGATGTCAGATTTCTGACTGCAAAAATAGCTGATCTCCCTGTTTTTCAAGAATTCAAGCTCACTGTGCCTTTTCAGAGGTGGCATTTCAACAAATGCCTATATAGTATAGGCTACAGAAAGACTTCCCAGACTGTTGCTATATATACACTGTATGTATAGCCTTTGGTGAGGTTGTTAATTTGTGCAGTTTTTTATACCAGGAGTCTGACATTGTTGAACACAGCACTTGTATCCCTGAAATGATATCTGATCTTGTCTGATGCATTTCATTTCATGGCAGCTTTTGGCGCTGCTCGTGAAGTGGAGAAGACAGGTACATGTCTATGGCGCATGCCCGAGGTTGAGCATCTGCTCGCTTGCTTCAGTTTGGCAGTCTGGTGCGTGCACTGTAGCGTGAACCTTGTGGTAATTCAATTTGTGTGACGCAAGGAAGTTGGTTTCCGATCTCATCCTTTCCTTTCGGCTGACTTCAAGACTTCGAACTCTTTCATTCCTATCAAGATGAGAAGGTCAATTCATATCAACTCATTTCGTCCACCCTCAAATCTCCGACATGGTTTCAATCCAGCCATTCGTCCTTTCTTCACTCGACCCAGCCCTCCTACTCCAATTACAACTCGATTAATGAATTTCTCCAAGATTACCGGATTACTCATTGCACTTCTTGGTTCTTCAGTTTATTTATCTGATACTCGAGCTGGTCTTCATTCTTGGATTGGGGTTCCTTTGATCAAAGCTTTGGCTTCTCAAGATCCTGAGGAATCTCATAAATTGGCTATCAGACTTTTGAAATTTATTGGAGCTCATCATTTGATTCAGGATAGAGGAGTCGATGGTGATCAGTTAGCAGTAGAGGTGAGTAGTATGGGTTTTAAATTTTGAAGAATTTGATTCGATGCTGATTGTTTTTTCACTGGATTGATTACCGGGAATTTGTCATCTATCTTGAATGTATTTGTTTTATGAGTAGCTATGGGGGAACAAGTTTTCTAATCCGATTGGTATTGCGGCTGGATTTGATAAAAATGCAGATGCGATCGATGGCTTGTTCGATATCGGATTTGGTTACGTTGAAGTCGGCTCAGTAACACCGGAGCCACAGGTGAGATCTTGATGGATCTCGTTCTATTTAGCCAACTGCTCCATATTCGATCGAACTGATGAATTCTATGCAACGAACCTTGAGAGTTTTCCAGGCAGGAAATCCGAAGCCTAGGATGTTCCGCCTACCCTCTACCAATTCAGTTATCAACCGATACGGATTCAACTCCGAGGGACATCTTACAGTACTCACCAAACTCCGCTCTCGTTTGCTTGAATACCTGGAGCAACATCGATATCTAGCTCCTACAGTCTTACTGAATAACTATGCACAAGCTCAACCTATCCGATCACTCACCACACCACTCTCAGCCGAGACTCTCACATCCGTATATCCACTTCCTCAGATTCTCGAGACTGAGGTAGTACCGTTGGATGATCGACTTTGCGCATTGGTCGATGATCTTGATCTACCTCGTAGTTTGAGGGACGGGAAAGTACTGGGAGTCAACTTGGGAAAGAACAAATGGTCGGCACCAGATTCGATTGAAGATTTCACCATTGGTATCCAACGTTTTGGACCATTGGCCGATGTATTAGTGGTCAATGTCTCATCTCCTAACACCCCCGGTCTCAGAAGTTTACAATCCAAGTCAATCTTTCAACAACTTTTGTTCGAGATTGTCAAGTCTCGGGATGGATTAGCCTCGACTAAGGAAGGCAAAAAGGTCCGACCAGCTCTTTTAGTCAAAGTAGCTCCCGATCTTAGTTACCAAGAGTTAGTCGATGTGGGTGAGGCAGCACGTGAGGCTGGTATTGATGGTATCATTGTCAGCAATACTACCATTGCCCGTCCTCCTCAAGCCGGTTCAGGTACGTATTTCACACCATCGTCACATGATCCGAACGGGACAGATTGGTGTTACAGATCGGAACTGATCTGCCCATTCTCTTACCCATTGTCCAGACTTGTCCGTAAACGAGGTTGGTGGACTCTCAGGTCCGCCTCTCAAACCACTTGCAATCCGAGCCCTTTCAACAATCTACACAACAACAGAAGGAAAAGTACCATTGATAGGATGTGGCGGAATCTCAAATGGACAAGATGCGATTGATTTTGCAAAAGCAGGTGCAAGTTTGGTACAACTCTATACTAGTCTGACTTATGAAGGAATTGGATTACCTCGAAAGATTAAAGATGAAGTCAAAGAGCTTTTGAATGGAAAACATTGGAATGAGATTATCGGAGTTGATGCTAAGCAGGAAGATGTGATTGAGAGAGGAGTTGAAGATGCCAAGGAAAGATTATCGTTTATTGAACAAAGGCTAAAGGCTTATGTTGAACGAAGTCAAAAGCCTACTGAGAAAACGCAGGAAACTAGCGTTAGTAAGGCTCGATTTGCAGTACCTAGATCGACTTCAGGTAGTTCTGGAACAGTCACAGGAATCACTTCTCAAAACTCATCATCATCACCATCATCAAACTCGCTGACCACTTCTACTGAAACAAAGATTCCTTTAAAATCTTCAACATCTTCTCTATCAACATCAACAATACCATTATCAACAATACCACCCCAAAAGATTGAAGACAGTGAAAAGCAAAAAGAAGAAAAGAGTGTAGGAATTCTAGCTGATTGGAAAATGAAAAGAGAAAAAGAGATTAAGAATGGAGATTGTAAAAGAGTAGTTTAAAAGTTTGTTTTTTTCAATATTTAAAAGGTTTTTGAAGAAATTGAAAAATGATCATTATATTTATATATGAATGAAATGAACGCAGAAAGAAAGAGAAAAGAAGTGTTGTATAGAAGTTTTTGCAGGGTTTGAATTTGAAATGGTTTGATCACCATCATTTATTTTTAGTTGAGAGTTATGACACGTTCACTTGAGCAATTTCTGGGGAGAAATCACATTTACAAAATTTGAAGGTTCTATCTGGTGGAGCATGTTTCATTTTTGCATTAAAAAATTCACACAATGTGATTTCTGGTCAGAATTTCCATAAGTGAACACGGCCTTATACTGTGGAGATGTAGTATTTTTCCACTATGCAAGATGAATAAAATTAATGTCAAAAATGATTAAAAATGCAGCGTTAATACATGCAAAATGAATGCAGAATTCCACCTTTTTCAATTTTGTTTGTCATTCAGGTCAATCATTTTTCACTTGGGAAAAATACTACATTGCCCTGTGTTAGTGACTTGAAGGTGAAAATTGAGTTTTTAAATCTTTACTCTGATTCTCTTTGATATTTCATCCCTTTTTGTATTTTACTATGTTTAAGACACTTTCTACAAGTCAGTCTTTTACTTGATGATATCATTTATGACAATTCTTTATCTAAGTCCAATTTCTCAATGATGATAAGTATGAAGTTTTGATCAACACCATCAGTGACTTTGTATATCTCTTGGCTATTCCATAGGTTCCTCAAGACTAGCAGAGCAATCAGGACCCAGGAATGCGCCTGTTGAGGTATGTAATGTGAAAGGTCGGGATTTGGGGCCGGATTTTACCTAGGTTTGTGTCGAAAATGGTTGGAATCTGACATCCTGGCCACAATGTTTGTAATGTAAAAGGTCGGAATACAGCTGTGATTTTGTTTAAAAGAACTGGGTTAGGGCTAGGTCTGGCTATGCGGATTGCATAACAAAAAAAAGGATGTGAAAAAGAGATGTCACTTGAGAATCACACGAACATCCTGGAACATCAGAATCAGTGTTTTCCCATTGCCCTCGCACCACTCCAAAAAACTACATAGTACATACCACTACAGACTACCACACAGAAGTCTACAACACACAGCACGCACTACACCACCCAGTTCAATTCATTTAAACTCTGCAAGATCACCTACACAATCATGCCTCTCCTCAATGATGTCATGAAAGAGGCCTTGCGCCTTGTTGAAGAATGTCCAATGATCGCCACGGCTACATGCATGGATAATATTTACAAGAAGTTTTCTAATCCACCATATTTACCCGCCGAGGATGTGGACGAAGGAATTTGGATGAGTGTCAATAAGGAACTTGACGGACTCTTTGGTTCTGAAAACAGTCATGAAAACATCCGAAAGGGACCTGATGGCATGCTTTTGGTAATTGAATGGGTCAACAAGGCGCGCGAGCATCCCACCTGGTATTCGCCGGAGGACAAGGCACAAAACATCCAGAAGAAAGGTCATTTTGACTTGGATCTGACTTGATGATCAAGTTTAAATTTGAGAGAATTTGTACAAAAGTCAAGGGTAAGACTTTCTTGTTTTATTTTCTTTCCAATCCTACAAACAAAATTAGGTCCGCTGAAACAAGTATTATGTCTATCAGCACTCGGAAAACCTCTTCCAGCTGATACTCCTCAATCTGAACCAAATGGTATTGAACCCCACACCTGATCCCAATGTCGCAGTCGCCAAGGAGCCTAAGCCTCCTCCCAAACGACACAATACACTCGCCAGTACCACCATCCTGATCTCATCCGAAGACGAGGAAATTGTATATGTCAAAAGCAACAACCTGAGTAAAAAAAACAAAAAACCCAAAGAATCAAAAAGAAAAGACGTAATCACACTATGCCCTCTATCAGCACCGAACAAGCCTTGCATATGTTGTAAGGTTGAACGACACCCAAAGGGTAAGGCATTCAGCTGTCACTGTGGTGCAGCACCAGTTACGCTTCATCAAGGGCGAATTGAAGGTGCACAAGCGCACTGGTCGAGTGGTTAGTAATTTTATCACACATCCTAAATAATTTTGAAACCTGTGCTGACGTGTTCAGTATTTTTGTATCATCAGGTTTGTGTAAAAGTGCAACATCCAGTTTACGAACGAACAAGCTCTTGAGCTCGTACTTTGTCAAGGACCCAGCTCTCCAACCTGTCAACAAGAATATTATTGAAACCATCTGTCCAGGTCTTACAGATGAAACCTGGTCTAGACCCCGAGCCGAGCAGACCATTTCTCAGTTTATGGATAGCACCTGTAGCGTTTATCGGGGCGTTAATCGGCACGATGTTTGTAAAGAACTCTTTGGACCCACTGTCACTGAGAACGATGTCAACAAATCACAAAAGGCCCAGCTTCTTGCAGCAATGGATGCACGGGCGATTTGGGAGGTTAAGCGACATGGCAAACAAAATGTGATCTACTCGAAAAAATGTGAACAGACTTTCAAACGCCACAAAGATGACCCTGTGCGGCCATGTGATTCATGCCTGGAGGTGAAAGAAGAAGGCAGCTTAGTTCGAGCTGTCAATCACAAATATGCCGTGGGCGACAAATTAAAATTTACACCCAACTATCTTTTGGTCGCCAATAAATACAATGCTCTACTGAGAAAGTTCTTAGACCTCAAAACTCTTGACAAATCTCTCGAATCTTCAACTGGTGGCGATTTTGGTGATTTCCTCGAACACCTAGCAATCATGGCTAGAAGGGGAATCTTCAAAAACCAAGAAGCCGTCAAAGGGATGATCATGGGATGTGCTATCCGTGCCGAGCGTGAGAAGGCAGGGAAATCTCTCCGGGGTATGCGGATCAATGCTCATCTTAATGATTGCCTCACAACTCTGGGTGCGATGAGCAAGAGCGCTCTGAAGCTGGTCACGAAGAACTTTGGTGGTAAAACACCAACGGCTGGATCGGGCAAAGAGCAAGACCGAGATAGAAGACGAAATGGCTCAAGGAAATTTTGATCGCGCAGGTGCAATTCTCTCTGAGCTTGGATATTACGGTCCTGTTGCAGTCGGCTCAGATCAGACTGTGTGTGTCCAAACTCTTCGTCACCATTGTGGTTTCATTGTTGGCGCCCAGGGAGGCGACATACCTTTCAATGACCCAGATGAACTTCAAGGTTTGCTTGAAAACATCAAGAAAGAAAATAATTTATGTTCTAAAGTAAGTATTTTGTATGATTTGCATGGCCGATTGTGTCCACTGAGCCATGATGTGTCTTAATTAACAACTAGATACGAGCTTACACGATTCAAGTTCCTCTCCCCAACATACCAACTCTAGTTGTTGCATTGTTGGCTAGTAAAACAAAGGAGGAGACGACATTGCAATTCTTCATGATAATGTGATCCAGATGAGTCGAACTTCAGGAATCAATGTGCTGTCAATTGGAGCAGACGGAGCTGCCAATGAACTGGCTGCACAGGCAAAACTGAATCAAATGTCAACTCGATTCTTGCAATATTCAAACAATAATCTCGATGTCCACATTAAAGTCCCACTTTTTGGAAATCCACCTCGCCCAATTGTAACCTTACAAGACCCTAAGCACGCTAGGAAGACCGGCGCGAACCAATTACTATCAGGTTCACGCTTAATCACTTTAGGAAAGTTTGTGGTCTCGCTTCAAGATTTGTCTCAGGTTCTACAAACACCAAACAGCCCACTGCTTGCTAAGGATGTGTTTGACTGTGATAAACAAGACAATGGACGTGCATTGAGGACTTTCTGTTCTCAAACAGTTGCCATCACGCTAGCTCAACCCGATTGTTCTGGATTAACGATATACTTGTATATTATTGGTGAGCTTTGTGATGCGTGGTTGAATAAAACAATGGGACATCGTGAGCGAATTAGGGCTGTATGGACAGCAGGGTTTTTCTTACGGATGTGGAAGGCGCACCTTCTCAAGCGTCAGAAAGAAACAAACGGCTTGATGAGTTTCCACCTCAACGGCATCTCTCATGCAAGTTTCAAGATATTCTCGAGTCTTGCCGAATCTCTTCTGGCACTGATTATCTTGCATCGGGAGTACTACACTGATTTTCCGTTCTGTCCATGGAAACATGGAACTGAAGCCTGCAAACATATCTTTGGGTGGATGAGAGTTATCTCACCAAACTTCAGTGTTCTTGATGCTTGTCTAATGATGCCAAAAATCATCGCTGTTGTCAAAAGTATCATGAGTGGCAGGATGAAAATACCCCCATCAGAACACCTACATTCAGGGTACCAGATTTCTTTTCATGAGGATAACTTCAAAAACCTCAACCACCTGCGTGATTTTCCATCCAATAACGAGATCTCAGAAGATCTTGCCGCTGCTAAGCAACGTGCTCTTAGCGACCGATCTTGATGGTTTGGATGATGTAGAAGACGTTCTTCGATCAACTGTAGATACAGTCCAAGCGCAATTGCCAGGTAAATAAAAACAGTATATTTCCATCTGAATTACGAGAATGATTAATGTTTGTAAATTGCAGATATTTTGACTAGCATTTCCAAAGACTACGAAATCAACTATAGCTGCAAATTTGGTGAATTTCCTGAGGATGAGGCTTTTGAAGCCGCAGCTATGTTAACAAAAGAGCAGAACTCTCTCGATGTATTGCTCAATCAAATACCCGACACTCTTGAGAGCAAGATGGTTCAAAAATCTGCGATGTCAATCTCAAACCTCCTCAACTCTAGCGGTATGTACTGTTTAGCTTAGCATGTGATGTTGAGTCTAAGACTAAACTGACTTGTCTCTCACAAAACAGATGAGCCTCACCCGCTCAAAGCTCGTGTTGAGACTTCGGGTGAAGATGCTCTGTTGAGCTTGATAGACGGCAACAAACTGCACATCAAGAACGTGATTGAGCTACGAAAACGGCACGATAGTCAAGTTTCCAAAAATAAAGGCAATGATCGAATGCTGATCAATACAGATCACCTACAAGTTGAGCTCAAATCAACTACCAAGGACGGTGGCATGAAGCCTAGTGTTTGCTCTAAGGCAATAGCAGTTTTCATGAAGAATTTTTCAGGAACTCCAGCTGGTGCTGCACGTCGACATCGATGGAACATGCACGTGAAGATCAATTTGGCGGGTATTATCACAAACACCACCACAGATAACGCTTTGGATATGCAACAGTGGTTTGATGGGGGTTCTATTGGAGTTGAAAACCCAATAGAGCCGGGTAAATTTCTCATTGCCATAAAAAACAATGTATGTTTTTCCTTTTGCTCTAAAATGTAACCAATTTCTGATATTTTATGGGTATCAGAAATTGCATCTTGCAAGTACAATAGTCGTCTATGAGCACGTGGCCGGAAAACATGCCTTTGTTACAAGCGCTCCATCAAGGAAAAAGTTATCACACATTGGTGTACAAGTATTACATTATACTCCAGTCTACCCAGTTGCCATGTCCACTCAACCATCTGCTCCAGACACTTGGACGTATGCTCTTCTGGACGCCCCGGACATCCTTTATCTCTTCAAGCCCTCTGATGGCTCGAACTTCGCGTTGGTTTTAGAGGGATGTTATTTGATCCCTCAGGTCATCCGCAATATGTTACAAAAAATTGATATTGACAAGCTTGTACAAAACGACAATAAAGAAAAAACAAAAGAAGTCAACGGCTCATGAACAAGATGAATAGTGTCGTTTTTGTTTTTTCCTTTCTTCTTTTATGACATCTTTACAAATCGCGCTCTTTTTTTAAATCACATTCTTTGTCCAATCACGCTCTTTATCAAAAATATTCTTTATTCAATTACACATTGGTAATGAAAACGTTTTTGCGCAATAAGAACCGTTTGACATGCTTGTCTAGGCTTCCGAGAACCGGCAAACCTGGCTGGTAGTAAGCCAGTCCCGCGCTGGTGCGTGACCGGGGCCGGGTATGGCCCGATCTCGGGCGGCCCGATATTTGGAATCGTATGGTGAGGTATGTTTGTAATGTGGGAGGTTGGAATCCGGATTTTTTTGGGATCTGACCAGGGTGACACCCTCAAAGGTCGGAATTTACATTACATACCTCAACAGGCGCATTCCTGGGTCCTGAGCAATCACTTTACACTAAGGGTACTCAAAGCAAAGTATGTAGCGCTACATACTTTTCGCTACATACTTTTTTTGGCGGGGACAAAGAAAAAAAATATACTTTTGGCCTCGCCTTCCCCGCCAAAAAAAGTATATAGCAAAAAGTATGTACACGTACATACTTACTTTGAGTACCCTTACTCAATGAAGATTTAAACATAATCACTTCTAGTTGATTGTAGTTTATAAAATTGACAGACACGACAGACTGTAATACACCATAAGTTGACTTGCAAGGACCCAAATCAATGGGGTGCTACACAGCTTTTGTCTTTCATTTTCCCTCAATGTAGAAATTAAGATTGATCATGCCTGTGTTACACTATGCCAAATTGAAAATTTACCGCTCAGTTTAGAAAATTGAGAAAACATAGAAAAATATGAAAAAATAATGGTTGATTTCTGTGGTGTATTCCAATCATCTTGCATCTTTTTTCATATTTTTACAACCACAATGCAGAAAATGTCAGAAACCAAATTTTGGTCCACAACTGGCATGTATTGGGACAGTGCATTGCAAACATAACAACTTGGCTTCAATTGAGCACGGGAAAATGATTAGAAGAAGAATTGGTGATAAAGCATTGATCACTGCACACCTGATCCACAGCACCCACACTACATATGTGCAGTAGCATGGGTAAATTGGGAGCTATCATGTGTACATACAAAGATGCTCAGATATTGGCTCATCTGGATGTGTAAACCATATGTATTACCTTCTGTAATTTTTTTCAGTGTAACAAAAGCATTCCAAAAATTGACTACACACACCAACTCATAGCTTTGGTGCAATTACATTAACTAAACTTTATGTAACACCCTTTCTGTTACTATCAAATAGCTTCCAGAGTATTAATCTTGATGAACCTTTTGAAAGCAACATATTATATTGTGATGCATATTATTTTGCCTTTTGCGGCTGAGCTTTGTGAACAGCCAGAGATTATATCACCACCAGGCACTCCCCACTTTAATCATGTCTTCCCTCCTTCCACCAGGACAAAGACATTTGATTTCTGACACTCACATTCTAGGACTAGGAGATTGCAATGATATCTGATCATGAGTTGATTCAACACCCAGTTTGATTGGTCTCCCTAATCAATAAGAATCCTTGGTCTTTGCATTCTGATGCTAATAAAATATGAGGTTGTCAAACTGTGTATATAGTACAACAAGTATGGGATGACCACCCAATCAGCTTAAGACTTGAAAAATCATGCAAGATCTCATATTTTTTCATTCCCTTGTTTCCAATTTGTTGTAATTTATCAGCACAACCACACAAATCAGAAAACTTGACACATTTCTGTAGGCGCATGCAAGCAACAAGTATAGCTTCATCCAAACTTGGAAAGTTTGGTGTACCAGAAGAAGTAATCCCATCAAGTCCATTGTTCAACAATCCATCACTTGATCTCAGTCACCTCTCAGTCACTTAGAGGTTGAGGATTAGGAAAAGAAGAATTTGGTGATTGTGGAAACTACTTCCAGGATAAGTTTGTATAAAGACATAGCAAAAGAAAAGTGATGTCCATGAGGACAATGATACTGATAGATATCAGTGTTGATTACATTCAAATACTGAGGTATATGTAGCTTGAACAGGGTCTGTGTTAGAATATTCCAACTACTTCATGCATCATTTTCACCAATACTTTTTTATCTTGTTCATTTTTTGAGGTCTTGAGACATAGTGATCTCATTGTTTGTGTATAAAGTAAACCACGCAGTTTACCAAGTCTACTTACAAGTTTGTTTTAAATTGTTGGCGGACCTTCAAACTAAAATACATTCAAGTATTTCTGGAACCCTCCAACATGAATATTGTGGATTTTCTTGAGATGAAGAATTGCTCAACTCGACTTCTTACAAGAATGAAGCCTCATTCTGCTTCATTGCATTTGAGGCTTGCCGTGCAATAGGTTGCGAGTTGATTGTTTAGTAGCATATTATGAGTGTAAGTTACATGTCAATATGCTTTAAGTGAATATGTGACATGATTGTGAGTTGCAATTCGATCGACTTCGCCAAACTTTTCTCAATTCAATTCTCAATCCAACCACAAACCCAAGAAAGTTAAATGGTTTCTTTCTTTCTTGAATGAGCCTTTCAATAAATGATTTCATTTAAACCAAATCAATCAAAACTACAAATCAATCAATTCATCAAACATTCAAATCCACATAATGCATTCATCAAACGATTTGATCCACCAATTCATTCAAGTCAAGCAGAACCTTTAAACGGCTTAACAATCTCAATCAAAGATATTTTTTCTGTAAAAGATGAAACAAATACATGTGCTTCAAAATTCTTAAAAGGTGAGCTAAAAGAAATCATGATCTTGAATTGATAACTGATTAAACTACTTTGTATTTGAATATAGATTTTAAACCTGCTTATGATTCAGCTGTTGTAAGCTTATTGAAAAAATCGGGAATCAAGATCTTAGGAAAAACTAATATGGATGAATTTTCAATGGGGTAAGTGAAATTTTAAATTAATTCAAAGATAACATTTTTTCAATAATTGTTGATTAATTTTGATTATTTTGGAATGTATAGATCTTCAAGTTCATTTTCTCATTTCGGTCCAGTCCTTAATCCGAATGGAGTATCAAATAATCAAAAGTTTAGAAGTCCAGGTGGCAGTTCAGGTGGATCAGCTGTTACAGTTGCTTCAGGACTTTCTGATCTGTTCGCATTATTTTTTCCATCTTGATTCACAAACCAAACGGAAAAAGACTCGACCGGAATTAAGTCTAATTCAAGTGAAACGATATCTATTTCTTCGATCAAAATAGTGCGATTGGCTCTGATACAGGTGGTTCGACTAGATTACCTGCAGCTTATTGTGGAGTAGTAGGATTAAAACCATCTTATGGCGCGATTTCTCGTTATGGAATGGTACAATATTCTCATAGTCTTGATTGTGTTGGACTTTTTTCTAAATCGATTGATTTGATTCATAAACTGTTTGGTAAGCTCTTTCACAACTCGAAATTCTCTCTATCTTTTAAAAAAAGTGAAGGTCAAAACTTATTCTTGAAATTGCTTCTTTTAGAATCTTTGGTAGGACTTGATAAACGTGATCCTACTTCTGTTGAGTGGAAATCAAATCCAGAAACAAAAACCACCAGCAAAGATTTATCAGATCTTAGAATAGGAATCCCAATTGTAAGAAAGATCATTCCATAGTTTCTTTCTTTTGTCTTGAATCATAAAAAACCTAATCCAATCTTGATTTTCTTTCTATAGGAATACTATACAACTGATTTACAACCTGAACTTTTTCAAAGAATACGTCAAGTTGCATCATCCTTAAAATCAAGAGGGGCTACATTAGTTTCAGTTTCATTACCTTCCACTTCTTATTCTCTGGGAGCATATTATGTAATAGCCAGTGCAGAAGCAAGTAGTAATCTAGCTCGTTATTCTGGTGTACATTATGGTATGTAAAATCTCAATATTGAAAAAGTGTACCCCAATGATTCTTCACCAAGAGAAATAATTAAAGTGAACCATTAGGTCTTAATATTTGAATGATTTTTTGAAATCATCTAGGATATCGTGATTCGATAGATCAAATTGATTCTAGTAACACTTCGATTGAATCTTGCAATCAATCTGAAAAAATGTTTGTTGAAAGTCGTTCAAATGGATTTGGCGAAGAAGTAAAAAGAAGAATTTTACTTGGTACTTATGCTCTTTCAGCCAGGTAAGTAACGTTCAATCCAAATAACCTCAAAGAGCAATTCCTCAAAGAACAATTTCTTGATGATATTTTTGTAAAATTCAATAATGTGATGTTTTTAAACAGTGGCATGGAGAATTACTTTTTAAAAGCTCAAAGAATAAGAAACAAGATTTGTGAAGAATTTGATTCAGTGTTTAGGAAGAACAATCAAGAAGATGCTATTGAATCAAATTCCGAAAAAGTTGATATCTTATTAACTCCTCCAAGCTTATCAATCGCACCGGAACTAAACTTGGAAAAAAGTAATTCGAATGAAGAAGGAGAGGAGATTAGGAAAAGTTGGGGACAAGATCAATTATTAGTGCCTGCTAGTCTTGCTGGATTACCATCACTTGTGATACCTTTAGAGAAGATTGAAGTTCAAGAAGATAAAGGTAAGAAATGGCCAGTGGGAGTTCAATTGATTGGACCTTGGGGTAGTGAGATTAGTTTGTTTAGGGTTGGAAAAGTTATTGAAGAAGAGAGGGAAATGAGTAGTTTGGATAGCCAAGAATGAATGAAAGGAACATGAAGAGTGGAACAACAGTTAAGATTGTAAGGATTGATGATGATCATGCTTTTGAAAGATTACCGATTCGTCTTGTTGGGTTTAAACGTATGATTTTTTGAAATGTTACCAAAAAAACAATATCTTGGTTGAATTATAAAGAATTTCAATTTAGACTGATAATAAGCATTAATTTCAAAGAGTTATCTTGTGCATTTGATTCAAGGTTATGAGTTATAAAGGCAACATGAAATGGAGTTTGGAATGAACCTTTGAATTGGTTTGAACAACGGGTAAATTATTGAATTGGTGTGTCTACGTGTCAAGCGTTATATATTTTGGTGATGTGTAGAGGAATTGTGAAGACCTTTAGGACTATATACACTTTTGTCTTTACAAAGCTGGGACCAGATATCCCGTTCACCATTCCAATTGGTGAGCACTTACTTGCATTACAACACCAGCATATTTCTTCATCGCAAATGTGTTTCAAAGTACATCAAGAGGCACCGTGGCCCGAAGCGTATATGAAGGTTCCTCTAGATCGCAAGGTCTTGCTGAGCAGTGACTGTGATCGAGTGCTAGATAGTTGAATGATGGACTTAACTAGATTATTGCTTCTGGTACATGATCGCCAAGTTCGCCTGAAGCTACACTTGGGCCGTGGCTGCGCCTACAAAAACCCGTCGAGCTTTTGGAGTTGCTCAGCCGTACTGGCCGATGACAACAAGGTTGAAAACTAGGCAATGCGGATTCCTACGAGAAAAGGCAGAGTCATTAAAACCACCGCAGCCATGGCCAAATGATGATGTTTTGTTAGAAGAGTTAAGGTATAAAATCAAAGGTATTCCTCACCTTTTTTCTAAATTCATCCGTTCCAATCACCAGTAAATATCTCCCCCATCACCCAAGTTTCTTCTTCTGCTTACAATCATCTTTGTTTAAATCAATTCATCCGTACTTTTGTTTATACTTCGTGCATACATTTATCAATTATCACTTTGTACTATTTTCGTTGAGCTAGCTTTACCCTATAATCAAATATATCCCTTTCAACACATCAATATGCATATCAACTACGGTTTTGTTGCTACTTCTATGGCCCTTTTGTTTGTCCTTGATATTACCAACACCAACTCGGTCTCTGCAGCGCCTGGAGCCGATTTGACTCGCTTGATCAGGTAAGTTTCCATCCTCACCTCAAGTTTAGACGTCAGTGTCTAATCCATTGTTTTGTGTACCTAGAATCATCCGTCGTCGATCTTTGGATGCTGGGTCTACCAGTGCCAATGAAGAATCTTCTCAGGGTGAACCAACTGGAATAAGGCAAGTATTCTCAATCTTTTCTCACTTCAAATTGGAAAACAAACTAACTTGAGCTCAATTAATTGATTGATTAGTCCTACTCGTCAATCGGGCGTTCCTCAATTAGGACTCTCTTCTGCTATGATGCAACGAGTCTCAGCTGGTCTTGTCAGCTCAATTGCCAAGTTTTCAGCTGATATGCAGGCAGGAGTCGAATTTCCAACTCAAGCAGAAATGACAAAAGCAGTCGATGAAGCACTTGAAAATTCAGATGACAGATATTTTTTCAAAGTCGCCCAAGCTATCAAGAACTCAATTGACGCTCTTGCTGATCGTAAACTTGCTGAAGGTGAAACCGGTGAGAGTCGGTAAGTCATCATTTCGTGTTTCAAAATCTCGTTGATCATTCTTCTAATAATTCTCTTAATCTTACTTCAGCGTGTCAAAGGCTCCTAAATCCGACTTGAACAAGCTATCTTTTCCAAGATCTTCCGAACAAATTGCAACTGCCTTATTAGAGACTATTCACATGTTCTGTGAACAAAGAGCTGCGGGTGGTCGATTACCAAATGCATCTGAAGTGAATCGAGCATTAACTCCAGCTTTACAAGACATTGACTTTGTCAATTTTAACAAAGTGAATGTTAAGAAAGGTGCAGAGGCTGTCAAGTTTGGTTTAGATCATATGAGTGGTCCTAATAAAGTATCTGAAGTTCAAGCACGTGGGGTTTCAACTGTTTCTATTCCTACTATGACTAGTCCTATTTCGGGTCAGAAACCAGCTGAATGATAAGCTTGATTTGATTTTTGTATTTATTCAATCTGTTTGATCTCACAGTTGATTATTTACTAATTGAGGGCAGGTACCACTCACTTTTGTGCAAAGTTGATATATTTCTTTCTCACTTGTCATTATATTTTAATCTTTTCACTTGTATCCAATAAAGAACCAAGTGTACTTTTATGTCATCTTTGTGTTGATAAGAACTTTGGAAGAAACTAAGTTTCTTACTTTCAATGAGAAAAATTATTCTTGTTATTTGAAAGTATAATCCTTTTTCTTTCCATTGGCGAGCAAAAAAATCCAACCCGCCAGATTCTCACTTCTTATAAACCAGCAAACACAATTGAGAACAATTATAAGTATCACCAATCTAATTAAGGATGGGGTGTAAGACTCATGTTGAGGGAATCGTGTGCCACATCGTCCTAAGCACACATTGTAAAATAACTTTAACCAAACATGATGGCGAGAATTTGAAAGATGTATGTACCTCGAGGTTCAAATGATTCCATTCTAAAAGTTCAATTTTACTCCAGTTCACCTTTTAACTCCGTAGTTTTGTTAAAGTTGAGCAAGAATTCCAGACCTAATCAAGACTTACCATTGATTTCTAATTTCCAAAAAAAAAAACCCTTATATACACGAGTTTTTCATTTCTTTCACAAAAAATTTCAAAAACTTATCACAAGATTTTAGGATTATTGAAGATTTTCCAAAATCAACAAGTTCCATTTTATCTCTTATCAACTTTACTGAACCAAATTTTATTCTGAACAACAAGAAAAAAACTTCATCTCAATTATCGTCACCATGTCAATATGTATGTCTCACTCTCTACCCTTTGTCTAACTAGTAGCTACCAAACAAAACCATCTGCCGTAGACGGTGACCCCACTGCCAGTTTACATCCTGAACTCACTCAATTATATATCTCTTTAATTTCAAACAAGTTCATCCAGAAAATTAAATCCTGAATATCACATTTTTGATATTCTCAAAAATTCACATACACTTCCATTGATCAATTCTCTTCTACCCTCAAAAATATAAACCCAAAAAACCAAAATCAAAACGAGCAAACCTTATCCAATCCCATCAAAAATCCAATCAAATTAATTAATTATATTAAAAAATTATGTTTTTTTTAAAAGAAAACAACATATAATTTATATTTATAATGAAATGCGATAAAGATAGAAAACAAAAGAAACTTGAAATTATTTTTAAACACACAAATATACCAATCAGAAAAGCAACCAAACTTTTTTTTTTCTTTCTCTCAACCAAAAACCCCCATCAAAAATTCATTAATTGAAAGAAAAAAAAACATCAAAAAATAATCATAAAAAAACGAATAAAAAAAAATCAATAAAATTAACTGGGATACTAAATTATTTGGGTGAGATTTTCTTCTTCTTTCTTAATTTCTAATCACTTTATTGTCCATCTCTAATCTTCATTCAAGCCTTTCTTTTTCTTTTTCTTTAACAATACTGAGGTCTACTAACCCTATGATAATCTAACCAAAAAAAAACACCATCACATCCATCAAACCAAATCAACCAATTGAACTTAATGAACTACATTTGATATGAATTGTGAAAGGAAAAAAATCACTCACCTAACATCATCACTGCTCCACTAGTAGGATAAACCAATTCAGTTGAAACTTCTAATTCTTCTAACCTATCTAACCTACCTTGAATAAACTCATTTAATCTATAATGCATGGTATCTAACCTAGACCTTAATCCACCATACCTAAGTTCTAAAACTTCCCAACCAAATGGCTAAAGAAAAGGAAAAAAACCCACCCACCCCCACGACAGGAAAAAAACCCAAAATTCATTCAACTTTTTTTTTCTCAAACCAAAAGATCATAATCAAAAGTGAATGACAAACCTTATACATAGACATCCAAAGTTCTCGATGATAAATCCACATAACCTTAACCAAACCAATCAATCTACTCAACCTACTCATCGAATCATATCCAGCTAAAGCCATTAATTCTTCTACATCTAATCTTCCATAAGCCTGAACTAATCGATCTCTCAAATGACATTTCAAACTTAACACTTCTGCAATCAGTTTAGGTAATTTCAATCTTTGATTTAATGGATACTCAATCTTTTCTTGATGAGTAGAATTCGTAATCGCTCTTGATAAACTTTTCGATAATTCATTATAATGTGTTTCAAGATCATGTCCTGCATATTGTGGTGATAAAATCGAATAAAATGGTTCTATTTTTCCGTTCGGTTCCGTTCGTTGGTTCATCGTTTCCAAAAATCGTTTTTCATAATTCAAACAGACAAAAAAAAATTAACACCAAACCCCACATCAGTCTATTTTTTTGTTCAACTTGTTTCTTTCATCTTACTATACCTAATCTCCTACACTTCTTTTCAATTTCCGCTCACCCTCCCAAATTAACCATTTACTAAGATTAGGTGTAAACCTCCTACAGGATTCAAAAACACCCAAAAAAACCACCAACCTCAAAATCAGTTTTGTATTTGTTTGGAAAAAAGAAAAACACTTCATAAAAACCAATTCATCTTGATTGTTCTGATTGTTTTGATTGATTTGATTTTTTGCAAAACTTACGCTTTATCATCAATCAATTGATGTTCAGGTTGTAAATCATCTAATTTAGAAGCCATCAAGAAATCATCAAACGAACCACCACAAATCCCATCAAATTTAACTTTCAAAAACTCCAAATCCACTTCTAAATCCAATGTGAATCCATGTTCCGAAAAATAAAGTAAACCAGGTAAAGCCGACCAACTAATTAGGTTTCTAATCTCAGTTCTTCTTTTCCCTCACCAAGGAATAGAAAGAGATAGAGAGACAGAAGAAGTTACATACATATCACATTCGTTTCCTTCATCTCCCCATATTGTGGTCATTGCAATCTTCACATTCAAACTTGGATCTTTAATAGCTTTCATACTAGCACCAATCGTTTCAATCGTAAATGGTAAAGCAGTCCAAAACCTAGACCCTAACAGAAAGCATAAAACTTAATTTAACACAAGTTGGATAATCAAAGTAAAAACAAAAAAGATATAGATTTATAGGTATACTAACAAGTCCAAATCCCACTTGCCATTGCAGGCGTTTTGAAATTCAATTGACGATGTTGATGAATCTTATTAACATAAGGTCCAGGAGTAGTATGATAATAATCCTTTTGAGCACCAAAGAAAACATATCAAGTTGAATTTTGAACGAACAACATGAAAGTCAAACCCAGAAGAAAAAGATTTGATAAATCACTAACCCAATAAACCAAATCGATTTCAGCCGGAATAGATTGAACCAATTCATTTGAAATCAAATGATTCGAATCATAATAAGCACCTAATGAATTATTTTTAGCTTCTAAACAAAACAACACTATAGTCGATACGAATCCACCAAAAGTTAGTCAAGAATTCTGATGTTGTACACAGGAAACTAAAGGGGATATACTCAACTATCAGACCAAATCATCGGTTTTAATTCATGTTTTTTACATATTTCATTCACTCTTCTTAAATGATTCGTAAACTTGATCAATCCAACCAAAATGACTCAGTATAATCCAACTTGAATTCTACTTAAAGGAATCGAGCAACACAACCTACCACAACAGTACTATCATGATGACCAAACAATTGACGATACCTACCTTCACTAACCCCATGAGCTTCATCCATTCCAATATGAATTTTCTTACTTTTCAAAGGACTTGTAATCGAAACAATCATCTTCATAGAAAAAAACACCCACACGCACCCCATATTAGAGTTAGATTTCAAGATGAATTGAATTCAAGTGATCTTGGATTTTGGATTTACCTTTTCAATAAATTGATAAACTTCTTCACTTCCAACTAATAAGACTTCATGTGTATCTCTCATTCCTCCATACCTTGGCCATTGTAACATTTGACCTAAATGACCTAAAGTTTGAACTAAAAAACACACACACAAATCATTTTAGAAAATTGGATTTCTTCCTTTTGGGGGAGTATTTTGTTTGGTTAATGAAGAAAGAAAAAAACACTTACTACAAGGAATCACTTCTATTCCACTTTTTATTGAATTTTCCATTCAGAATTTCACGTCCCCCACCCCAAGAAAGAACAAAAGAAAGAAAAAAAGAAACATTCGAATCAGTTTTGGTTTTCTTTTGTTTTGAAATCTTCCAAAAGGATTCATGAAAAAAAAAGTAAAATTCAGGGAAGACAGAATCACATACAGTGAATCAGCATAATGATCGATTTCTTTTAATTCATCAAACTTATAAGGACCTCTAAAATACCCAAAAAACGGTTCATTTTCAATCTATTCCCTCCCAAAGAAAGAAGACCCCAACCCGCCCTCAAAACCAATCAGTCTAATTGAAATTCTCAAGAAAACAACCCAGAAAGAGATCCAAACTGACCTGATAAGTATCTTCAGTATAAAGTTGTAACATATTCAAACCCATCAAGGCCATAAACCTTAACAACTCTTGAATCCTAATCAATTTAAGTACACCATTTCTAGAACAATCAATCATAAGTCCTAAACAATCAAATCTAGAAAGTTGATGATAATCATTTAATTTCATCAAGATCTTATCATGTTCTTTGATACGAGTTAAAGTTAATAAATGTCCAATCGATCTAAAGGCTTCGGATTTTCGTTTGTAAGTGATGGTGATTGAGAAATGTGGAATGACTTGGTTTTGGTTAATCGAACTTATATAATCCGTTAAATGATTTGATGACGTATTTGAAAACTCATGAAAACTTGGATTTGAGGTTTGGATCTTGAATTGGTTTTCTAAAAGGTTTGAATCAAATTTGAATCTAATTCATCAAACCAAAACCAAACCAAAAACGTATGATTTGTTTTAGTATCTATCTGATTTTCCATCATTAAAAAGAAAGATATACTGAACTTGATAAACCACCAATATTCTTGATCTAAATCATTTCGGATTTCTTCTTCAAAAGAAGGTAAAAAAGCTTTAGATTCAATCGTTCTAGTTGTATTGATTTGATGATTATAATCTTTTATTGATTGGTCATGGTTTTGATGAATGAAATTAAGATTAGGTCTGATTGAGTTTGTAGAGAATTGGTTTAATCCGAAATGAAGTTCAGGTTCGATTTGGTTTGATAAGAGGATCAATCGAATCGATGATGGTGATGGTGAATGGTTGTTTGAGTCCATTGAAGAGTCCATGAATGGTTTTTTGGTTTCAAGTGAATGAATGAATGGTTTAGTTAGTTAGTTTGACTGTTTACCATTTGTTGTAATTTGAAAACTTGAATCGATCGATCAATCAATCTCTTCCATCGATCAAATCAAAATCAAATCAAATATCAAAACTACATACAAACCATTCATTTTAACCTGTGTCTCATACCACACATATATCTTCATTTCATCAGCTCCATCCTATGAAACTTTGTAACACTGGAGTGGTAGCTCAAGGAGAATGCTAGTAACACTTATGCAGAGGCATGCACAGGGATGAGACAAGGATGTTGAGCCAGTCTGAGCAGTCTGAGCCTTCATCACATTTTCTGAAACAGAACAAGTTGAATTTATTTTTTGGTAATTGTAGACTTGCAAGTCAAGTCTCTTTTATGCAAAACTTCTGTTGTATAAAAAAAAATTGAACCAATTGTCAAAGGATTCTTGAATTTCAATTGCAAGAAAAGTTCAAGAAAATGATTAACTTCAAACATAGATAAGGAAACTGATAAAAAATGTTTTTAAATTCAAACCAACCTCTTTGAACAAAATCTCAAGATGTAAATGCCTACTAGGATAAATAATCTTTCAACAATAAACAACACCCTACCTGACCCCAAAGTGCCTATACAGGTATCGTCAAAAGAGTGATGAAGTAGAAGATGAGTAGAAAAAAGATAGAAATCAATAGGGGGGTTCAACATCATTGAGACTAATCTTCCTCCTTCCTTTAGACAACTGCCAAAGTTGCTCAAAGGAGGATATGTACTTGTAAGTGACACATCAGTTGATACATGCTGCAAGTGTTAAGAACATGGAATCATTTGAACAAGGAGGAAATCTTGTGATTCCTGGGCAAAAAAGTACTGTACCTTGTGCGCAAGAACAAGGCAAACAGCTTTTCTCTTTGGTAGAGAAACATGCAGAAAGCTTGCAAGTCCTGTCGTTGTCGCACAAGGAAATACGACTTACATACATATATTGACATTCAGGCAGTTCGAATCTGTGATTCGTGGACGCGTGAGTTCAAACGCGTGAAGCATCGTGTGTGATTTTGTATAAGTTGACCTGGGCTCGATCGATATTTATGGCGTTCAAACATGTGCAAGAAATTTGCAAAACCGATGAAATCTTGCACGGATCTTGCTTAATTAATTTTTTCACAACCCCCTGCTGTATGTATCTTATGTATCTCATCAAGGGCAAACTGAGTCCTCGAAGCGGGGAAGCCTAGGTTCACACATAACTTTCTTAAGTCTGCAAGTTTTGTGGAAGTTCTATGCAAGATGTTTAAAAGAACTTGCACAGAACTTTCTCGCAACTTGCAAATTTCTTGCGCATGTTTGAACGCCATAATTGTGGGATGCATTGCTATTTATATATCTTGAAAACACTTTAAAAACCTGATGTCTCTTTCGATTCACCTTCCTGAACTCAAGACCTTTCCGTTCAAAAATTGAACCTCACATCTTTCCAATCCTTTTTACTTTGAAGTTTGCTACATATTCAACCTCGAATAATTTCCAGATTTGTATTGTTTTGTCATTATGAAATGGTTCATCTTTCTTGGATTGGTGTTACAAGTCTTATTTGTAATGGGTTATCCTGAATCCAATCTTCGCTTAGAAGGACGTGACTCGAGTGGTCTGGAATCGATACACCCAAAGGAACTTTCCAAGCGCTCGACAGCGCCAAGCAACCCGGTAGTCTGTCCTGGTCAAGAGGGGAAGCCATTCGTTTACGATCTAAAAGTTTTTGGAAAGTTAGTCAAATTCCCTCCTTCTGGTTTTCCAAGAGATTCTCTTCGCTTCACCGATCGTATTAACTGACCAAGCTTTATTCCTGGCAACTTGATTAGAATGGTCACTGCTCTGATCTCGCGCCCAGCCTCATGTGTTTACTTCTCAAACCTGGGTGTGAGTATGACATCTGATGAGCCAACTGAGAAGCCAGAACGTATTGAATTGACTGGCTGATTGACTCATCTCACACAGATGTACGTCGAAACATTGGAGGGAGAACCGGCCATGTTTCATGAGTGAGTGCTCAATGACTCGAGGTCATCTTGATTATTCGAGGTCCATATGAACACATGATTTCTTCTGTCAGCTCCTCACCCTCAATGGTTAGAAATTACTATGGCGCTTTGATCAGCGACAATTGTCAGGTTACCAGGCCTGTTAAGCTTGTAAGTCTTGCATGTACTTCTCTCTACTGCATATCAAAATTGAACTCAAAATTCCTTGAAAACGATACCGGTTTATAGAAAAGCAACCCTCCACCGAGCACGGATGACCATTTGGTCATCATGATAATCTTTTATGATACTTATTCGGATTCCAAGCAAGTTATGACGTGCGACAAAGCGACGGAGGATGACATGCGTTCCGTGTGACCAATGAATGCCATTCTACACTGTTAACGTTCAGACCTACAGCGTTGTGATGACTGTTGTCAGTAGCAAATGTGTTCAATATGTGAGGCAAATGCAATGTGACTAGAACTCAGGCGGGCTTGCCCGCCTCTAAACTTAACGAGTAGAGTGTTGATTCTTATGGTCTAAATGTCTGGAGGCTTGAGTCATAATGAGGAAAACAACAACTTAAAATAGGATAAATGTTTGGAATATATGCTCCATGCTCAACTAATCACATTATTTTGTGTCAAGCCAAAAACCATGTAGCAACTATCAAAGGCTCAATACGTTCCAAATGAGATTTAAAGGTTGACAATATACTCATTCCACATGGAGATCAATTGACCTATACAAAATGGTTTACATCAACTATATTTTTATCAAAGCAAAAGCTCCACAAAACACAGACACAGATAGTTTACAACTCTAATAGAAAGGAAACCCAATGGATGATGAAAAGTCAAATGACTGCTCATTCGAATCACTCAAAGGTATTCAAATACATTATTAGAATTGAAGGGAAAGAAGGGAAAAGAACTTGAGCTTTATAACCCATACCATTTTCTGAAAAGAATCAAACCACACACAAACAATTAGTATAACACACTCCTGTTAAAGAAGAGTATACAGACAAATAAAATTCTTTTTACAATTGAAAAGAAAATTAACTGAGTAAAAAGTCTGAATGCATTATCTAAAGCTTCACCAAGTTCTGAAAGACATTCTCTAAATAATTCAAAGTTGCATTCATAATAATTGGATTTCAATTCCAAATTGATTTTTGATTTTTTCTCTTTGTTATTGTCAAACAAAGAACCAAATCTTTTGTTTCCTCTCTACAGCTTGGTATTGGGGTATGTGACACTGTAACTCACTGCTTGTGTGAGGAGTGCGCGTCTGTTAGGCGTACTCTTCACTAAAAATGTGTTGATAAAGGTAACACTGCCAGCATTAAAGAGGTTCCCAGATGGGAATATGGGTTGTAGGAATCAGACAGCCTTTGTGACTACATATATCACAATGGCGGTCTGATCCCTACGACCCATATTCCCATCTGGGAACCTCTTTAATGCTGGCAGTGTAAAGTGTGGTCTTCACGTGGTACACCCAACAATGAAGAGCTAGTACGCTCTAACCTTGTGAGACTGCAAGGGGCAGGCTTTATACTTTGGCAAGCCAAAGATCCTGAAGGCTACTTTAGAATCCGTGTAAGGGAGGAAGCTTTGCTACTTTACGGTTTATTTCTAGAGGATATGATGGCCCAAGGCTTGTAGAAATCAATACCAGTGTGCTCAGCAATAGAACCTGTAATGCTCAAGTTTGGTCTTTAGACTTACACAACTAATCATGTACTCAAGGATCCCCTTAATGGGATTTCAAGTATAATGTGATTCTGATGTTGTGATGTGTTAAAAGATGGGTGATGAATCAAGGGAACAAGTCTGGCTCGCAGCGCTACCCAGCGCTGCTAACTGACTTTTGAGCAGCGTAGCTCGCATTGAGCCCGGCCAAAGTCAGGGGCGTTCAGCAAGGCGTACTTTTTTTGGGGGGACAAAATAGCAGTGAAAAGCGCACTTTTTTGACGCAGCGCTTCCCAGCGCTGCAGGCTTAAAATTAGCGCAAGACAAAAGATTGCGCATAAGGTGTTGGGATGTAAAGATTGTAGAGAAAATGTATATAAAGGGCTTAAAAGAGTGTATAGAAAGTAAAAATTATAAAAAAGAAAACAAAGAAAATGTGTATAGAAAGTAAAAATTATAAAAATGAAAACAATAGCATTAAAAAATGGTGAAAAACAATCAAGAATAAGTTTTTTGGGTCTTTTTTGTGAGAAATTTCTTTGCATATTCAATAACCTTGCCCACTTCAGCAAAGTCCCCCATCAAAGGTACCCCTTCCAGCATCCAAATAGTCCCACACACTAACATCTCTACGATACAAGTATTCAATCCACCTTCTTCATCGCTACAGATTTGTCCGGCAACAGAGAAAGATCATTTGGGGGGACTCAAAGCTGCAGGTGTTGCGAGATAGTTCTTTGCTAATACCAATAGCACTGTGTATTTTCCTTCATGAGCCTGGGATTATCATGCCAAAGAGATAGGTGATCAGTAATGAGATTCACTTATATAAAAAGAAAAGATTGATATAAAAAGAAAGAATTGATATTGATATTCACTCTCCACCAATCTAACACGGTTTGTGGATTATTTTGGTCGGATGATTTCATTGGATCTATCCCTTGGAGATATCTGTCAAGCTTGTTAAGATGGCTTTCTGATGAGACCTCATTGTAAAAATAAAGATAACCCGGTTCAAAAATGCTAGGACATGATTGGACTAATGGAGGTGTGGTTGAGGGGTCCGCTTGATCTTGTTCTTGAAGAGCAGCTGATTGACGTTCAGACGTGAAGGCCTCATGAAGTAAGGCTTTGGCCCGGTCAAGTTTGGAAGAACCTTCTCGATGGTACATTCAATGATATAAGTCAATCAACAATTATCAAATAGCCGATGCAAAAGAGATGAAAAGAAAGATAGGTTACCTTTGTAGTGATTCCAGGTATCGATACCATATGTCTGTGCGTGGAGAGACAAGGGTGTCTCCCACCAGCACCAGAACTGGACACCAAATCGATTTGCGGTCTTTGAATAAAAAGTGGAATAGGAGATTCAATATGGATGGCTTGAGGTAATATTGGACTGGAGGCTGATCAAATCTGAAAGGTGCCATTGGAAACATGGCTGAGGTTTGTAACTTCAATCAAAGATCAAAGGAGGTAGTGGCGGAAAGCGTGGACAGGTCAAAGGGTTTAGTGGCGGAAAGCGTGGCGGTAACATTCCCGGGGCCAAAGTATCAGCGCACAGCATAGCTACTTGGACCCTGCGGGTCCCGGGTAAAGAGGCAATAGCGGCGGGCACAGCGCTGCGAGCCAGACTTGAAGGGTAGAAGGGGGGTTTATATATTCACAGGTCAAGCGCCAACTTGTGGTTAGCGTGTGATTCTTGTCTCACTTGTGGTTGACACTTGGTTTAGGTTTGTTACATATTTAATACATTATGTACATGTGTTTATGTGGCTCTCGACACTGAGCCTTGAGATGTACTTATGGATTTATACACTAATATAATATTACATGTGTTACTGTTAGCCCATGGTCGTGAAATCAGGGCTCAGGGCTGACAGCTTGCTTTGATCATTCCTGGTTTTTGGTTCATTTCCTGAAGTACCATTTATGTTTCCTTTTCCTCTGGCTTGCCAGCTTCCTGGTGACCCCTCCTTGCCACCTCTGCCGGGTGCAAAGACTTGGGATGACTTGTTCTTTTATCCCGAGGTCCAGAATCCGCCTTTTTTTTCTTGCATTAAAGTTTGGAATCCAGTTGCTTCCTTGGTAACAGGTTGTTTGGCATTTTCTGGGCCCTGCTCTGTTCCCAAAAGGACAGGAGTTTGTTTACCCCAATGGTCAGCATGTTGTTTCTTCCATTCTTGCCTAACGGGGCAAAAAAAACTTTTTAAACTTCACTTGATGTCCCTGTAATATCCCTCAACTAGTTACTTTACAAGAAGTCAGTATGACACTTAAACACCTAAAGTCTTAAGACTTAGACATCCATGTACTTCCTTCCACAACGCTACATTGCTCTGACTCCTTAAGGATCTTTGAATGATCTTTGTCAATGTCTCCTTTGCAGTCAGGTACATCTATATTATCATTTTCCTTTCCTTTTCATCCTTAAGGATCTGATCTTTGTCAATGTCTCCTTTGGAGTCAGTTTGTAATCAATATATACTTCTGTTCTAGAATTTAGAAACCTTCCACCAGTTCTTGTAGTGGTGCCCTTCTCTACGCGCCTTAGAAGATAAACCTTATCTTCCACCCCTTTCCTTAGTGAGGACAGTTTAAGTCCTTACAGTCCCATTGTTGAACGCAAAGAATCTCTTGGCTTCAGACTTTGTCTGGCCGGTCACCGGATCAATTGTCTCTTTCCCACCGCCGGCTACGTACAGGTTCTTGGCAAACTTCCGCTCTCCGTTATTCTTGATGTCTTCTTTTGCTTCTTGTAAGATATCTTTGTGAAGATATCCTGCATCAATCATCACATGTCATCCTTTGCTTTTCTTTACAACCATCACAACTAGTCTGACTTTCATACAGTATCTGAGTGCAATCATCCAGCACTTCTTTGACCTCTCAATGTGTACTACATTTTCTTTCTGCCTTCTGAACATGTTTTCCGCCATTGGTTTGTTATATTCCGTCTCTAGGTAATTGATGAATAGATCCATCGTGTCTGTCCAGAAACCATAAGTCATCAGCAGTTCTTCAAGTTTTGGTGGTACTAGTCCTGAGAAGGTTGCTGAAGAGTCATCTTCTTGAACTTCTTTCAAGGTCTTTGTATTCTTTTTTCCAACTTGTCTGTGATCTCTTTCAATCCTGGCCTGATCAAAAACGGCCAATTTGATGTATGCGTTCAGAGTTTTCATCTTGTTGTCAAAGTATGGTGTTAGCGGTAGCAGAAGTGATCCTTCAATAGGCTTTCCTATCATGTAGGTTATTCCATCTTCTGTTTCTGTAGAAATGTGTTCTTCCAATCAGTTCAGGCTAATTAGGTTTGTTATCTCTTGTGCACTTCTTACCTGATAAGGTGTTGCTGTCTACCTTGTCTGCCTTTTTGACTTTCTCCTCTTGGTCTTTAGTTTTTCTCTTCTTCCCTTTTGCGACCTGCTTCACCAGTACGACTCCAGTTTTGCTCTTGCTTTTTCTTTTGCCACCTGTCACTAGGGACTTTGTTCTAGGACTTTTCACTGTTACCTCTGGTGAGAGCTCTCGCCTGTTTGCGGTTTCTGTCTCCTCCGGATTTCTAGCCCACTTCCTGGGTACGTTGTTCACAACATTGGTGGTTATGTGGTCCTGCTCTGCTTGGGTTGGATGGGCTCCTCCGTACATGCCATTCAACACTCTCAACATTTCTTCTGCCCTATCTGGGTTGCTGTAATAGTACTCATGCTCTGTTAGCTCCATCCACTTTGCCCTTTTGGCATCACCATCATCTATCTCCAATGGATCAAAACAAGGTTTGTTTCAGTTGTTTTGGTTCCTTCATCTTTTCCTTTTTTGGATGTTGATTCTACACTATTTTGGACTATTATTGTCCTTGTTGTTCTAGCATTACCATTCCATTTCCATCCTTTAGATGTTTTGGGTGCCTCAAAGGCTTTGGTTCCTTGGCAGGTGTTAACTTCTATGATAATTTCATATGTTTTATCCCTTTCTTTGTTCACAATATAGCTTGTGACATGCCTCGGTATTGAGTGACAAGACTGCCTTTCTTAGTTGATTGGGGGTGTATGCATGAATTGAAAAGAAAAAGTAGAAAACAGGGGGGGCTTTGGGGAAGCGTATATGTATCTTTTTCAGGGTTGGCAAAAATGTGGTCGGATACACCACAGGGTGAATTTTGACTGGGACCAAGGTATCCCCACAACAGCCCGTTGTGGAGAATGCGGTGACAGTAGGGTGATCAAGACCATGTGGCCCTCACCCAAGCTTGTCACCTATCCTACACGTTAGCGTAACATGAATTAGCGGGTGAGCTGATGTGTGTGAGCGCAACCTGTTAGCCATGTGCTCAGCAACTCAAGCAGCTTGGATGGCTTGAATTCTTAATTGATTTTGTACTTGTACACTTTTTATTTTCTGAGGGACAGTGACATCACTGGATCTCACTCTCAACTTTGTTTATCAACCAACCCACTGGCCAAATACCTTTTCTCAATTCTCTGACCACTCAACCACTTCCAATTTTTTTCTCCTCCCAACAATCTCCTCCCTTGAGCTTACTTTGCATCTGTTCAACAGTATGCAAGGGGTTGTTATTATTGTCTATTCACAATGGCACGAATTCAGGTAAATAATTCACATTTGCATCATCATTCATTCTCTTTTCAATCTCAATAACAAATGCTCATCAACTGTTTCTTCATAAATCCAATTCAATGGGCGATTATCCGATCTTCTTGCTCTCTCAATGCATTCTGCACCTCAACAAGTTACTGGGCTTTGAGATTAGCCAAGTCATTGGATGTGAAAATTCAGCACAATTACAATATACCAATTGGCTGAAGTTTATCCCAATTGACTCTCTTTTGGCCATTCAAGATGCCATCACCAATCTTTATCAGAAGGTCCTGTCCACCTTCTGAGTCTTACCTACAAAGCCTTAACAATCACGCCAAGTGTTGAAACTTTCAACTTTGTCACACTGACCCGGATGACTTTCTTGATCAACCAAACCGGGATCAAAGGTCTTACCTTGTGAAAGCATTCAGGCGGGTGGTGGATTGCATGTCACACAAAGACACTTGTGGTTGACAATGAGGATGATGTTGGACCTATCAATCCTAGTTGGCTTTGAAGGCTCTTTTTCTTTTGCTGTGCATCTTCTTGGGCCTTGTAGAAATTCTCTTCCTTGTTTATCTCTTTCCTCTCTTGATTTGTCTATGTTTCCATACATCAGTACATTGTTTAATGGTTTTCTATGTTGTGTCAGCTTCAGGTCTCACATTCAGTCATATCTACAACATTATTTCCTTTGATACAAGGATCCCCATCACCTTCAGATCTATTTTAGTTTATTTGATCGTTTCTCTCTCTATTTTCCAACTATGCTCTCCCAATCTTATCCTTCCTACTAGCTTGATATATGTATGTAGTATTTGAGGATATTTTCCAATTCAAATAGTAGATGAACTATACACACAATTCTGTCAGCAAAAAAACAGCCAAGCTCAATTTGAGCGGGCTGGCTATTAAGACAAAATAATGTGCAATGAGCACTGAGGGGAATCACTCAACCTGTCATTGGGTGATCAAGCTTGCACAATTGTCATGTCAGATAGCTCACCTTGTCACTGTGTGAGTCATTTCACCTGGTTATGATGTGCGTTGCTCACCTTGCTATGATAAAGGTCAGATTGGGTTAAGCTCACACTGGTTGGCATGTGTAACTCACGTCGGGTATGGCAATGTAGACAGCACATATTTCAATGGCAGAGCAAAATCTCATGTGCCACCAGCCCTGTGGTGTAGGTGGTGGTGTACAGGAGGTACAGAATTTAAAATGGAAAATAACTGTTCTTGTTCTGTCACTCACTGTGTTCTGTGTCAGCGCTTGACTCTCCTCTCTATCCTTCTGCATCCTTTCCTTTGTCTCCTCTCCTAGCCTCCTTTCCCGCTTGTCCACTGTGTCCACCAGAAAATTTCTTGACGTCAAGATTGTAATGTACTACAAAGGGCCCCCTTTGGAGTGGGTGACATTCTTGATGTCAAGAACCTCTCTGGAGGATGCAGTGGTCCCTCCTTTCCTCCTGGCTGTCCTGAGGACGTGCTTGCCTCCAGTTGCGCTTGGGCTTCTTGTTGTTGTTTGTCTTGACTTTGTCCGTTGCTCTGCTGCTCTGGTTGGGTATCGTTACTTGTACCTTCATCCTTGTTGGATTTTTTCTTGCTGTGTGTTTCTACTTTCAAAGTTGTTTTCTGTTTATTAACTATTTTGATTTTCGTTCCTGCTGCTACTACCATATTCTTCGCGGCTTCAATGTCTTTGGTGAATGACAACATTTTGAGATATATAAAAAACAAAATTGAAATGAGTTAAGTATATAAAAATGTTGAAAAGTAGAATTTCTGAGAGTGCAAAATTGTTTGAGCTGTAAATCTCTTCTCTGTTCTTTGGGCAGAGCTGTACATGAGCTATACCATCACCTCACGACTTAGACCTTGATTATGGACCTAAGCCTTAAGCTGTGCCTTCATTTATTCAAAGCTCTTTCATCAGCTCCATCCTACAAAACTTTGTAGTACATACTGGAGTGGAGTGATGGGTCAAGGACAATGCAAGTAAAACTTATGCGGAGACTTGCACATGTATGAGACAAGGATGTTGGGCAAGTCTGAGCCTTCATCACATTTTCTGAAAGAGGTCAAGTTAGTTTTCTTTCTTGGCAATTGTAGATTTTCAAAGTCTTGTTTATGCAAAACTTCTCTTGTTTAGAAAAACTTGAACCAGTAAAGGATTCTTTAACTTCCATAGGTTCTGTTAAAAAAACAGGAATGATCAGTTTCAAACATAGATAAGGAACCTTTGACAAAATGCATTTTTAAATTGAAAGCAACATCTTTGAACAAAATCCCAAGATGTAATGCCTACTAGGATAAATAATTTTTCCAACAATAAACAACACCCTATCTGACCCTAAACTGCCTATACAGGTATTTTCAAAAGAGTGATTAAGTAAAAGATGAGTGGAAAAAAAATTGAAATTGATAGGGGGGTTCAACACCATTGAGAATATTCTTCCTCCTTCCTTTGAACAAGTGCCAAAGTTGCTCAAAGGAGGGTACTTGTAAGTGACACATCAGTTGCTACATGAATCCATGTTACAAGTGTTAAGAAGATAGAATCATTTGGACTGGTTTAAAGGAGGAAACTTTTGTGATTCCTTGCGAAAAAAGTGTGTAGTAGTGGTCTTTAAAACTCGTGTTCGGTGTCCCAGAAGTGTCCAGAAGTGACATCCAGAACCTTCTGGGACACCCCCAAAATAAATTTGGGGTGTTTGGAATTTTCGAAAGTTTATCTACATAAGTAATAAATATGCACAGTTGTATGGATCTGCAACCAATCCATCTTGTATCCACCTAAGTCCCATTCAAATGGCCCATATGCCCTCATCCCACTCCCACTCCGATCTTTCCTGGACTCCTTCAAATTCATCGATCACAGGCCAGGCACCAATTGGAGCTTATTCATATGCCTTGGTCTCGCCGAGTCTCAATCCACATATCAACCCACATATCTCGCCAGCAATTGTCTCACCAGCAATCAATCCACATCTTTCTCAAGCTATCAACTCCCATCATATTTGGCCAATGATGTCTCCCACATCTTACCCATAGTCAATTCAATCTGCTCTTCAAGATTCACATCAAGAAACTTGAGAGTCTCCAGCAAGTCTTGATGAATCAACTTCTAAGCCTGGAAAAAGGACCCGAAAAAAAAAGAATCCAACGACAAGAACAACAACAAACCGCCATCTTCCCCTAGCCGTCCTCAAACCCAGTGGCGTACAGAGCTCAACAAGGACGGGAAGAGTCCCTTGTGGCTTGTGATTGAATGGCTGACTATGCCTGAAGGTGACGGGTTCTGTCTGGATTGGTGGAGGGGTCAAGGTGGAACAATTAAAAAGGCGAGAGTGGCCAAGGATATTGCAAATTACCTTGCTGTGAACGGTTTTCCAAATATACGCCCAACATCGGTTGAGCAGCAGGTTTGTGATTGGAGTATCTCTTTTGGTTACAAATGCTGATGAGTTTGGGTTTAGATCCGAGATCTTGAGAAGCACTTCCGGAACGCGCGGGATTTCCATAAGGACACTGGTCAAGGTGTGAAAAAGACACTAATGGAGGATGTGTTGGCTGAAAAAGAAGAAAACGGTTACGAATCGGATAGTGAGGCATGGAAGGAACTGCTGTCATCTGTCGAAGACAAGTTTGAGGGTGAGTTTTAGTTCCATGTGCATAGGTTCAGGTTGATGTGTACCGCTAATGCTGATTGACTGCGTTTAACGATTTGAACAGCGATGATTAAAAAGAAGTGCCTGTACTATGAAGAGATGGTTCCTGCCTTTGGACGGCGACAGGCAAACTCGCCAGATGATATACAAGAGTCTAACAATGTGATAGATTTAGATGATATCTTACCTAATCATAACAATAGTGAATCTTTAAATTATTCAGCAAAAGATCAAGTAGAAGGCATTGAGTCAGATCAATTCAAAGAAAATAATTATGATAATTTCAATCAATTACTTGAAGGTGTTCATGAGAGTCCTCGATTCGATAATTTAACTGACTGTGACAACAATCATTGTAGTGAGAGTCAAAAAACCAATCTTTTTCAAACATCTGGGTCTTCTAGTCAAGTAGTGAATAGTCAACAAGACACTGATTCCAATGTTCTTATCAAATCAAAGGGTTGTCAATCATCACCTTGTAAAAGCTCAATCGTGGATTCTAAAACTGCAGTCTCAAACAAATCACGTATGAATTCCGGCCCAGCTTCATCACTTTTAGCAAGTCATTTGCCTTCCCGGGAAGAACATGAGGCTGAGTGGGCATTTAAAATGAGTTACATGAAGGCTGAACAAGAGGCGAGAAAGTCTGAGGTATCATCTGCCAACGAACTGTCTGAAGCAATTACCAAATCTTTGAATCCCGAAATTGATGAAGACACTCGTTCTATCCAACAACTCAAAATGAAAAGGGAGGCGCTAGAATTACAGCAAGCTCAAATCGAATTCAATGAAAAAAACTTTGGAAGAGACAAAGAGCCTCAAGCGAAGTCGTGAGGCACTTGAACTGGATAAAATGGAGAGAGACTTAGAGAGTCTGTGAGCTACTAGCTTCTTTTAGGCTAGTAAATCACTAAGAAAAGGGTATAAACTCGTAGGGATTATGATCTACAGAGTTTATAAGCGGAAAAACAAGGTTCTGGCCCTATACTTGTAACAAACAAGTATAGACTGCAGTTAGAGGACCTTTAAAGAAAGGCTTTTCTAGGGATTTGAGTTAATGCGCACTGAATCTTCAGTGACTTCCCTTAACCAATTATCTTTCTGACTAGAAATAAAATGATTAAGAACACTAAATTCCTTTATAGTGTTTAGTACTTTACACTCTGACTAATAGAGGTACTACGAAGGTTTAAAGTTTCTTGGTCTGATCAAATCCCAATCAGATCAAGCAGCACTTAAGGATCCTACTTCCTTAATAGTTTGATTCCACGAATGGTAATCAACAACTATGACAATATTGTGTTCAAGAACAAACACAATAAACAAGATTGAGAACCACAAGATCAAGATAACAATCACAAATAAGATAGTAAAGTTCACTTTACGAAAAGCTTATAATCTAGTTGGTGATGAGGATTTATTGAATAATAAAAAGTGTTAAATTGTAATGTGATGATGTTTCTAAATTTCGCATATTCAGAGTTTTTATAGTCTGAAGTTTGAAGATCTTATGCGCACAATTTGTGGTTCCAAGGTTAGGTTTTTATTACATATAGGTATTAACCTTTTTACTTGGTTACATACATGTTACAGCTGTGAAATGTATGTAATCTTAGGACATGTAAAAGACGTGTACTTACACAGTCTTTTACATACCTTTTACATATGTTACATATGTTAATTCATATGTATTTTGACTCTTGAAACTGAGTCTGAGTTGTAATTATTGTTTTTTAAGGTTTTTCTTATTTTTACATGTCAGCCTTTGGTACTATGGTTCAGTACTCAGGGCTGACAGAGTCAGAAAAAGAAGGATCACATGGATGATATTTCCATGCAAGGTCGTCTTTACAAAGAGTATATGGACAACTTTCAGATGAGTTGGTCTGAAGCTAAAAAAACGGTGGACAAAATGATTGATAACAATTAAAAATATTAAATGAAGTATAATCATGTCCAACCTTTTTGGTTCAAGACAACTGAGCTTATCCATGACACCAACTTTTTTTTAAAACAAGTTATTTCAAACTTATCACTTTTTCCCTTATATTTCTCTACTTTTATACACTCATCTGAGCAAATAAAATGACTTATGTTATATTTTTCAATCTTGTCTTATTTACACACACGAGTTAAAAATATTAAAAACAACTTGTATTCAAACATCTCTTGTGTTCACAGAAGTTTAAAATTGTTTTAAAACACGTCATAACAATTAGGGCGGTTCAAGAAGGGCTTTTACAGCCCTTTTTTATATTTTACATCTTGTTTGGGGTCTGTAAATTTTAAGTATAATTTCAAGGTCGTGAACCACCTTTAGAGGTGGTTCACGGTTTGGCGATCTTGTAATCGGCCTTAAAATTTTTAAATTCTGTCCCTGAATTTCCAAAAGACAGGGACAATTGAGCCGAAAAAAAGAATTACTTCTATTCTTTCTTTTTTTGTTCCTGGATTCTGACGATTCTTGGTCAAGAAAGGACCTCGTTTTCTTGTCTTTTTTTTCTCAGTGGCTTCCTCTTTCATTAACAAAAATTCTGTACAAAAACACAAGAAAACAAAAAAGAAAACAAAGCCAAAAAAAGAACGGTTGGGACTGTGTTCCTGAATTTACAAAGCTGTAAAACATAAGTTTACAGCATTTGCCGCTTTGCGATCAAGCTTTTTAAGGATTGAGCAACCTTAAAAAGACTGATCGCGACTCGGCGACCACGTGGCTCGCGGTTCTCTTCTTGAACCGCCCTATTGTTTCTTGTGAAATTTATCTCTTTCTAGTGTTTATTCATTAAAATTGTGAGGTGATCACTACTCACTGTGCTTATTGATGGATTTTCATCTTATGTATGTGAAGTGAGACGACTGGCTCATTTCCTTTTTTCTCAAAAAAAAAGAAAGACACATTGGATTTCATAAAAATTTTGGTGAAATGAAAACAAAATACAACTTTATTTTAACCATGTGTGTATCCAGTGGATTTAAATTTGGAAGTACCCAAATTAATCCTATACGATT